GTTAATAAATGTAGTCTAATATTGTCTAAAAAATTGATCCGAACGGGCCCTTAATATTTTAGCATTCTTAAGGTTGTTTCAAGTTTCAACAGTCATCCAACGGGTAGATGTTGTTATACTACCTAGTATCTACCTAGTACTATCTACTATCTACGATACGAGTCCATGAGATATAGAAATTTACATCTATCTACCAGTGTTTAATCATCCGATTCTTCTCAAGACATTCTCATACGTCAATCCATCGATAAGGTACTAGGTAGGTATGTAACATGTAAGACGTAAAGGCAAGCATTCATAAACACCCGAATCCAATGCCCCTCGAAAATTCTTATCACATCTCTATCGTACTCACTTCCATTATTCCAAATCGCATTTTAAGAATACAACAACAACAATTCTACAACTTCAGAAATCGCTGCTCATTCAATTTGAGACATCAGACAGATGAAATAGTATCGGGTATGCATAAGATATCAGTAATGCTTACGTATTCATACAATGAATTGGTACCAATTCATCCCTTACAATATCTGTAATACCTAGCAACTCAATTAAGTGAACGACTCATATCATCAAAGTAATCCCTCGACCCCCTTCTCTCAGTGAGGAGCTTTAGTTTAACACATGAAATGAAACACACGGATAACTATAACGGCACATCATATCATCAATCATCTGATAACTGCGACGAAGAATTTAAATTGCTCCACGTCAGTCGTAAAAAACTACCCATCCCAAGGTCGAATAAATAAATAAAATAAAGAGGAAGATAAGTCCTAATCCGGAACGCCAGTTACTGTTCGCTCAATCGAGTATCTCATATACACAGCAATCCATACCCCTTCCCCTTGTCCCAAACTGCCTGCAATTGTTCCAACCCTATAAAACTCGCTGAATGTACAGCAAGCAGTACCTGAATAGTAAACAACATCCATCACACACAACAATTCAACCTCGGATCCAATGACTAGCTTATCTGAATGGCGTATCCGGGCCATCAGAGCTTACTGGGCTCAAAGGTAAGCTGCGAAGGCCGCCACTAAGATCGCCGCTCCCGGTCTTCTTCACAGCCTGTGACATTGTCTCTATGGTCAATTCGCCGCCATTTGTAGGGGAGTGAAGTGAAGTCGGACTGGCGAGACCAGTTTGTTTTCGAACTGGCGAAAGCTCAACACCTTTCACGGAAGCTGACTTACTAGTCGGGGGTGATGTTCCGAATCCAAACGACGATACTGGTGATCGCACAGGCGAAGGTGAACGGTTCACACCTGGTGATATACCTGGTGATGACAACGCACTGAGTCCCGCAATATAGATTGAGTCTCTATTGCCAGCATGCTCTGCGTGCTCTGATTGCACTACATCTGCAAATGAAATGAAGCTTAATCTCCGGATGTCTGTACTATCAAGAGCACCGTAGTTTGATGCCGCATCGTCCTTGTCGGGGTGGGCCACCAAGTCGTCTGTCCACATTGACGCGCCAGGTTCGCTACTACTAATACCACTCATTGACATTACTGCTGGCTGATGAGAAGAGTGCATAACGATTTCCACTGTATCCGGGTCAATGTCATTGTTGGTAATAGCTTGCGACGATGCATCTAGGACTGGTGGAATATAATCTTCTGTCTGTATATGCGACGGAATTGCGGGAGAATTTGGCTGAATAGCACTTTCTTGCACATCACGCTCGAAGATTTGCGAACCTGCAGGTGACACTACACGTGGGGAAGATGAGAACAATTTTCGACTTGGTGGTGATGAGGGGTGTTGGTATGGATAGCTTGATCGTGGAGGAGAGTTCGTCATCTGCGTCTGCTGGAGAGGGCGGATCAATGGTGCATTGCCAGCAAGGGTTCCATCATCCTTCTTTTTGCTCTTTACCTTTTCATCATTCTTCTTTTTTCCAAATCCAAACAATCTTCGCTTTCCCGACTTTGCGGTTCCGCTCGCAGAATCACTCGCATCCACATCGACCGCACTGTTTTCACTGGGATTCGATAATTTTTGGTTCGTTGGTACTTTGAATCCCTCACCTAGTAGAGGGGCCTTTGACGTGGTTATAGATTGCTGGCCTGTGGGGACGGGCGTGTTCGCATGTAAAGTACTAGATTCCGATGCGCTCATGATGACGATTGATAGAAGGATTTCGAATTTGTTTTTAGGATATCGAGGAAGTAAGTCGAGTCGAATCTCTTGTGTGCTATTTGCGAAGTGTTAGATGAACATGAGCAAATAAATAAATAAATGGATATGCGCTGTGAAAACCCAATCGCATCATAATGGATGTTGGCGTATGCGCCTTAATCAAACCAATACTTTGGAGGGTCGCAGACTTACGCGTGCAGTTTATCTTTGGGAATTATGTATCAGCTTGCTTCCGGACAATGAAGGTCAGAATTGCCCAAACTTGTGAGAAGAGTTGGAATGATAAGAACAAAGAAGGGTCAAGATTCAATGTCAAAGATGGAGCTGTGAAAGAAAGATAAGATGGATTCCTATACGAGTATATAAGATCATGACAGTCCAACAATAGACACATTCAAAGGCATGACAATCTAGACAATTATGATTGTAATGATAATTGTGATTGTGATTGTGATTGTGATTGTGATTGTGATTGTAACTGTAATTGTAATTGTAATTGTAATTGTAATCATAAGATAATTTCACCTACCTCTCTTTCTTTGCAAGAATGGGTGGTCCAGGAAGCGGCAATAGTCATAGAAGAGGGAAGAGGGGTGATTGGATTTCCTTGTGATTGCTTGTGCTTGTGATTTCTGGCGATTCCAGTTGTGAATGAGGTGTGTAACTGTGTGTTATATGTGCCCTTTATTAGGAGGAGGGGAAGGATTTCGAATTCAATGCTTTTTAATGCAGGATTTTGGATATTCCTTGTTGATGTTGTGATCACCAACATAATAATAATTACTACTCGTAGGTAAGCATTATTTTTTTAATTTCATGAAAACAAGTCGCCTGACAATCAAAAAGTTGGAAACCTCGAAATGAACATGATTTGGGATAAAGAGCCTTGTCGCGAGGCTTGGAAGTTGTGTACGGAACGGAGTACAGTAGAGTAGGCGATTTTGCTTGGGGTTTAACTTATCGCTTAGTAATCGATATCGGTGCAAGTAATTTCCAACGCCGGCGGGATGAAATGTGAGGAACTATTGAGTTTTACCTTTATTCCTTTAATCAAAACCCTCATACAACGATGGATCTCAGAATATTACGTCGGCCCGTCGCCAACCTCTTCTCTGCAAAGCCTCAATGTCTATTGTCTTTGAACGCCACGGCTCGTCGACATGAGTCCTCTTACAGACGTTCTAAGCAACGTTTAAATGTCAAACCAGATCCAAATTTTGTTCCATCAAATGGCGCGCCACAAGATCACATTATTTTCAATCCGCCATCCTCCTCTCCATCCGTTTTCCACACCCCTCTAAAATTCCTCCCCAAAGACGACAAGAGAAGAAAGCTTTTAACAATCACCCAAGAACGACTCAACGCTCTCTCACATCGATTACCACCTCCAGTCAACCCGAAGCAGCTGAAGTATGAGAGGCATCATTTGAGTGAAAAGGATGTTGCAGAGATTAGGAGGCTGAGGGCGGAGGAACCAGAAAAATGGACTAGGTTGCAATTGGCTAAGAAGTTCAATTGTTCGTCGATATTTATTGGCATGATTACAGAAGCATCGGCAGAGAAGAGAGATTTGGAAAGAGAGAAGCTGGAAGCTGTGAAAGCTAGATGGGGACCGACGAGAACAGCAGCGCGGGAGAATAGGCAAAGACGGATTGAGTTGGCAAAGAGGGATGAGTGAGGGGTACAATGGGGAGGATGTTACAAAACGATATATTTGATCAACTATTTGTGGAGGCAGGCGTGGAATAGAGAAAAGTTGGCAATATAGCACAAGGTACTATGAGTCTGTAAAAGGCTGTACTGTGTTGCTCATTGCGTGTATAAAACATAACACGGAAATGCATTGTCAGCATGAGCGTTATGTATAACGTAGGAATATGTCCAAAATTTCGCATAGAATTGCGATTGCGAAGCACTACAAACGTTCTTATGACATTCTACGTTATGCTGCCAATCTTATGTATTTTTAACTATTATGTACGCCTCTACAGCCTCTGGTTGACATTTACATCTTAAATTTGATATTAGCTTTATGTTCAGCTCTCGCCTGTGGTTCAAGTGACCCTTGGGCAAGACACATCTATCTATTTGTTCATTTATTGGCAGTGCCGATTTATGGTTGCCATCATCATTTCCATTGAAAAATATGCCGAATCGAAATTCAAATCCCCAGTTTCGAGTACCAATTCTTCCGCCTCATGTCTTCGATCGAATATTCTGTATTTTAGGTGCTACATAGAGATGTACGTTTCAGATTCTGGTTAATATGGTATCATTTGTTCATTTCACAGTTCGCAATTCACAATATAGCGGTTTCCTTCCACAGTTACATCTTCACAATGATATCTGTCCATTCCATTGCGGATCGTCAGCTATGGACCGCATGAATTATTTGCATGGGAGCAAAATGCTATCGCCGGGTGGAAAACAAGCACTTAACACAACACCGTTAGAAGAACCAGAAAAAAACGACGAGAGACAAATTCAGTTGCTACCCAAAATGCCCAAAACGCCCAAAATAATCTTTTACGTACTTCCTTATCTTTACCTTCAATCTTCTCATTCTAATTCAGATGCTCTGGCTATTACATATCCTAAGTGTAAGCACACATAGCCTACATTCTTTGGGTACCAATCTCTAGGTCGGCGAAGAAACAGACTGGGTTTGACCACCTCTTCCTGATTTCAACACTTCCATTGTCTCCCTCAGTCTTTATTAGAAAATGATGCTTTTGATAAGATTCAAGATAACCAAAGGTCGTTGATATTTTGTGTATCTTCAGTTTGCACTACCGCCAAAGGACTAATCTGTGAATCGGACTCGGTTTTATAACTTGTGTTCGCATGCCCTACGACTTATGGGTTCTTCTACTACTACGAGTTGTGCCGCTTGTCGATGCTGAAATACCAGATTTAGTTTCATCCTCATAAAAATAAGGCGGATTACTATGGTCGCCTCTCCCATAACCTGTTTGAGCACGCTCCGCTGTTCCATGGTCGGAAGGAGCAGTGGTGCTAGTGCGTTTGCCACCCCTGTCAGGTTTGTAGATGTCGTTCAAGTTTCTCTCGCTCAAACTTTGACGATCGGAAGCTGAAGTATTGCTTCGAGGGAGTCTACCATGTAAAGTCCCACTGGCGGAACCCTCACTCAAGGCTTTGGGCTCATCATCAGATTCTTTGTGCGATTTTCGAGAACTTGGCGATTCACTGGGATGGTGGGAACCTGCTTGTGGTGCCTGGATATCATTGACTGCGCTTCTTGCGCTTCTGTGGGTGTGGGCACTGTGTCTTGAGCTGGTAGCAGATTTTGGCTCAGAGGAGACACTTGTCTTTGGGCTCGAGACATTACTTCCTGCTAGAGAGGGTTCTTTTGTTTTTCTCTCAGTCCTTTTATCTTCTCCGCTCCGATGCGAGCGTCTGCTGGAATCTGCATATCTTCGGTCTGAGCTTGGAAGATTCCTGTCGTTTTCACGGTTGTCCGAGCTCTTTTCGTATTCGAATTCATCTACAACTTTTTCTTCTCTATCTAAGAATCGTAATTTATCAAACGTAGTCCGAGTGGTAGTTGTTCTTTTTATGAGGCGAGATCTTGAGCTTCGCCTTTCTCTTCCATTATCGCGGTGTCTCGAAGACCTCCGCCGTCTTCTCGGCTCTTCTTCGCCTCCTGATTTATGGGAGTCATGTCTTTTATTATCCTTAAACCCCTCCATCGCCTTTGAAGCTACTTCATAATCTCGTAAACTAGGATCCATGTAAGGATCGATGGGATCTCCCGGACTCTCTGGTGGTTGTGGTGAGCCACGACCCCCGATATCAAGATCTCGAGTTTTTGCCTCAAGACTTTCAACCGATCTTCTGCGCTCGTTTCTTGAGCGGTTCGACCCGAGACGAGGTCTGTCAGATTCTGCTGGTTTTATTTCTGAGTGCTTCGACCCGACACCACTAGATCTTTTAGATTTGCCATCAGACTTCCTAGAGTTGGGCCGAGACGATTTTGATGTCATTTTGCTGATATTGCCAAAACTAAGTTTGATTATGTAGTACAGCTTCTCTTGATGAGAATATTTTTGGTAGCCAAAATCTGGGTTGGTGAGATTGAGATTGAGATTGAGATAGTAATGTTTTGTATTTGATAGTATACCTCATTTATATAATTCATATAGCACAAAACAAACATCCTATTAATCTAGAACTTCGAGGCTGCAATTTGAAAATTTATCAACCATTTTCTCAGCCAACTCTTTGGTGGTATCTAAAAAAACACTAGGCAACACAGTAATATTGTCCTTGGGTCTAGTCCAAGGCGCACGATGATATATGGCTCCATCTGGACGACCAACTTGCTCCCAAAAATAACTATCTCCATTCAATATTCGAAATAAGATCCAACAATCAACATCTCGAGTTGAGATTAAAATGAACGGTCTTGTTTGAGGGTTCTTTAATTCTTATAAATTTGAATGTTTGTCTTTTTGGCTCTATATTGTTATCGTAATTTGGACATCGAAATACCAATTGTTCCAATGTATGAGTTTTCTTTTTTGAGTGGTCTGCCATTTCTGTCTATGTGGGCGTTGTTCAGGCGCCTCGACCAGAGGGTCCAACAGGTGGACCAGGTAACTATTTTAGGCAGTCACATTTTGACGTTTATTTATTCATTATTTCTCCACAAAACATATGATATCATCTTAAAATCATTCACTCTTATCATCAAACTCTTTTATTTCACAAAATCCAAAGAGATCGCCGTTGATTACTGGTATTATCTCATATTATCTGTATACTATAGATTTACAACCTAGTCCTTTTTTATTTTCAACTGGAGAGATGTTTCTATCACCTTATTCAAATTGACGGTTACTCTGGCCGATACCCCCGGATTCCCTGGCTGTACCAGAATGAGCAAAATCGTGCTGTCCCATATCAACATGTCTTTTCGTCTCATCATTCCTGCATCCCACATGGCTGTTTGGGAATAGATGGGCTGGATCTACGCTTCTTCCCAGTTCCCCCTTAAAAACGTGTGCGGCCTTCCTTTCTTCATGCTTGTCTCGACGACCTCGCTCTGCCCTTTTATAGACCTTCTCACAACCTGGTATCCTGCACATGTAACTACCATCCAGCGTAATACCGTTTATGGTATTATATTTCTGAATAATCTCCTGTGAGATGCGTGAACCAGCATGCTCTTCCTTCAGATGGTCAATATATCTCGACTCCTGAGAACTCCAATAGGCACAGTTCTCATCCACTCCAGAGGCGCAGTAAAATCCAGTTTCAGTATGATGTCCTTGATTATGTTTTCGCAGGTCCTCGGGTAGCTTCCAGCCTTTGGGGAAAGCATTACACCGAATGCAAAAGTATCGATCCAACTTCCTCCTTCCGGTATCTCCACGACGGTTTACATGATTTGGATCATTCCTCTCTTGAAGCCTCCGTTTCCTTGAGCGAGTTGATGATTTCTCTGCGATGCTTGGTGCAGGTGATCCAGAAGTCGATTCAGATCTATAAGATTCTTCACCTGGGGACTGAGACCTAATCGTCATTGACTCACTCATGTCGAAGAATGGTGAGGCGCGTTCCAGTTCTCTTTTAAAATCTGATGAGGCTGACCGGAATGAATTGACGCTGGCTGTTCTCGCTATACTAGCTTGGCCAACCATGCATGATGGGAAGGTTACTCCGGCGTATTCATTGATCTGCACAGAGTTTGCTGCTTCTAGTGGCGGAATATCCCAGCACTGCTTGAAACGGTGCTCGTTGAGGATGCTTTGTGCTTCTGTAATAACGGGAAGTGGTGCGATTGGTCCAGTGTTCATGGTAGTACAATTCCAAAGACTTGGGTCAATATGTGAATTGTAGATTGATTCGGTGTCATAGTCAAGGCTTGGGTATGAGGTGCCTTGCCAAAAGTAGTCATTGTACTCTGAGGAGGTGGTAATGCTATTTTGTGCTACAATGGCATCGTGTTGACTATTTCTAGTATTTCGACGTCTTTCTTCTGATATATTGAGATCCTCATCGTGGATGTGAGAGGAAACATCAGTGAAGACTGTGTTTGGGGGCGAGCTATGCTCTGATAATGTATATTGAGGTGGGATATACGTTTGTGAGGTGTAGGTTCTTGAATTATATTCGGGGCTATTGTTCAAGTTCCGAAGACCGGTATCTCGAATATACTGATTGCGATTGTCTTGGAAGCTGCAGTCTCTCTGGACGTAGGATTCACTTTCAACTGATGTCATGATGTGTCGTTGATCCACCCCCAGTCGATTTATTGCTGTCTGTCTGCTAATGAAAGCCTTATCGGAGAAAGGATCGATGAGATTTGGAAGGCACAAGATGTAACGCAAAGCCTAACCAGGTTATCTGATTTGTTTTGAAATGACAGTTTGTGTGTGTGTCTTGGTTTTGGTATGTCAACATTTGTCTCGACCACTAGATTTGACTAATTGCTAATGATATCTCTTACTCCAAATTTCTCACAACGTGTACTTATACAAAGCAGGTCGATAATTGTCATCACTTCCAACCATTGCTGGGCCTAAATCATGATCCAGATCTTCCTCCAAGGCTCTACCTCTATGGCAACTTCTCCATATCATTCCCATAGGTCAACCACTATGTACGAAAACCACTAACCGACTACAGAATCTGCCTTTCGACCCCAGAAGCCTTGCTTGAAAATTTGCAACGCAATTTAGCCCGCCACACCCGTTTTACGAAATGAAGAATACGGCTCCACATAGACTTTACTTAAACTATGATACAAGTACTTCCAGGTATTTCCCCACGCTTACCCGTGCGACAGCCAAGTTCAAAGCCCCGTTGGTATGTATGAATGGTCTACCGCTTTGCTTGAAGCGAACGCAATGGATTTGTGATTTGACATTACAGCGTTATTCTGCTCCGCAGTTTTGCCCCACTTCTCCGAACAAGCCTCGACGTTGCCCGTTCAATTCAAAATCACACAACTCAACTTATCAATATATCGGCTGCAGTTATAACAAATGCTCCGTAAGACCAGATGGTTGTGTTGGCAAACTAGTTTGCACAAAACGAGCGTGTTTTCGTGCAGCGAGATACACCCCAACACGTTGCTGTGAGTGAATGCGCCAAAGAAAATGCTAACCTTTGAAAATACAAATGTGCTATTGCAAGAAATTAAGATTGGAGTTGAGGGAAGATAGCGTGGTGGATCGGTCAGACAGGTGGGTTCTAGCCGCCGACCCCCCCGGTCATTACAAAAAAGACCCCGTTTCATCTACTTGTAAGGCTTTCCTATGTTTCAGAATTTCCGGAATTCGGGAGAGAAGGAAGAAGAGAACACTGCAGTGTAATTTCGAGTCTGCATCCTCAGGATTGAAAACCTACTAGTGATGTTTCTTGTGCTTGATCATTTCAAAGTACTGTTCAGAAACGTAAGAAGGACCAATTATCCAAGCGGCAATCAGAAAAAGTGGAGAACGTAGGATTCAAATATGGCAGGACATGGCTACACATACCAATTTGAGGTTGGTTGGTATCATCTTACAATTTCAATCATAATATGGTTAATAATTGCTCTTTGGTATAACCTAAGTCCTGACGTTCAGAAAAAAGTTATCTTCCCCAACTGTCAACGAAGTAAGGTAAGCGAGACACGTGATACGGGGGACAAATTCAAGCCTGTCGGATGTCTTTCCATTCGGTGGCTGTACCCAAGGGAACGGATCATGGCCTGGTTACGACCCATGTTCCGGCCATCATTTATTCCTCTTGGGCTTTCTATAAGAAGTGCTGAGAAGCATGAAAATCCCAAAGTGATGTTCAAGAACTCGGCCTGCGATTTGACAACATGCCAATCTACAATACCGAGACTGCGAAATATCAGTTTGAACTACCAACAAACAAACTTGGAAAGAAGTACTCATGAGTAGCGAAGTCTTTCTAAATCAATACACAAGGGCTTCTTAACTTCATCGAGGGGAATCGCGAATCGCGAAATTTCTCGCAGATGACATTATCTGCAATTGATATCTTTATTGCATTCGCGCAGACGACATTCGAATGGAGAAGGCGCTATGAAATAGAAAGAATTGAAAGATATGAATTATGTTCTGGTATCTCTTCTCTCCGCGATGTATGAGTTAATGATTTCAAAGGGATTGAAGTGAAGTAATTCACTTGCATGCGGAATTGTATGAGTTGGCTGGACTTGGTGGTGAGATGACTTTACTAAAACTGAATGATAGGTTGAAGATTCTTGGATTCGTCACTAGATAAATTGTCAGCAGCTTTTTCGTAACCACTTGAGTTGTTGAGACCCCGCCCTCCTTGTATCTTGATAAATTGGTTAGTAGGGTTGACTTTGTTATTATTGGATCGTTGCTACTCAAATTCGATTATTTTGCTGATTGGATTTCAGATTTCATGATTGCTGGCAGGAACTTGGGCTTGTTAGTGAGCAATCATGGAGTATCATATGAGGTAGGTGGTTATCTATGAGCTGAGCAACAAAACAAATAGCAAAAGTTGATTGAAGTTCGGCCTCAAAGCGCAGTATAATTCATCCCGCAGACAATAGTGAATATCTAGAATCGAGAAAGAACAGCTGGTGGTGTGAGAAGATGAGTCCTGAGACCATGCTCCTACATTCATGTTCGTTCGCAAGGTGGGATGAATCGCGTGGGGCTTTGATGAAGACCGCTTAAAGGTAAGATGCCTTGGGAAGAATTTCTAGTTCCTGAGAGCCTTTGAATCGAGATGACATCTTAGACATTATTTATAGGATGGGAAATGCCCGGCAATGACAGTTTTCACAAGTTCTTATTAAGTGGACTGCGATCAATATCACGTCATGAGGTTATAGTTAATCAACCATTGAAATACAAGAAGTTATACAGGAAGGAATTTTATCGCGAAGAATGTCAAATTTCAGCATTAATAGAGCTTCAACTGCAAAGGCTTCCAACGTTATCCTCATTCAACTACGGTATATTCCTATGCATAAGAACACACAAAAAACTCCTATATTTTAGAAATCATGTACTCGTTCCCCTCCCTACCCTCGAATCTCGGCCGGATTACTACTTCAAGCCAAGCAAATCAAAGAAGCAACCTGCTTAGTTCATACATGCATGCTCATTGATTGATTTCCTCTAGATATTCGATGAAAATATCAGATATCCAGATAGACTGCAAGATCAGTTCCGGTAATCGAGTATGAAAAATAATCCTCAATAAAGAAAATAGGAGACTTTACAGGCAAGTGAGTATTTTGTCTACAGATGATTTCTCGGCCTCTTCTGAGACTAATTGAGGAATTAATGATAATTTCCCATCAATCTGTAGACAGAAGCACGCTGGTCACTAATTCAGAAATCTTTGTATCGTTCTATGGATTTCTATTAAATCTCTGTTTGTTGTGACACCCATTTATGGTTGGCGTGTATATTCACTGGAAAGATGGCACTCTCATTTGCATCTCTCGATCTTGCGTCGAGTAAAATGTATAAAAGAGAAGAAAAAAAAAGGAATTCATTAGCCAAAAATGATATCACTTGATGGATGGTGATCTCAGAACTTACAACTGCATTCTGAATGATCTCGTGTGCCGGTACGTAGATGTAAACCGAGAAGTTAAGATATTGCGTAGGCGAAATAAAGAAAAGGGGTAAGATTGACCCCAGAGCTTCTAATAGTATGATTCAAAGTGAAGATTCAATTTGATCGCAAGCATTATCACTTAACTCGTTACTGTATTAGACCTCTATGTGAAAGATAACTCACGAGGCCTTTTATATCGGATTAGGACCATTTGTGGGCATGCGACCCAGTAGTACACAAGTATAACTGTGTTTATATTCGTTATGCATGCGAACCAATGCACACAGCATTTTATTATGCATAAGCGGAAGTGGCTTTGTGGGAACGCTTTGCGGCCGCCGTTTCCGCGCGCCTTTCCCTTTTGTGGACAAGTCATTAAAGCTCAGGCTTCACACCTCGCAGCAGGAAAAAATCAAACCCTTCTCCGCTGCTCAAACTGAGTTGCTCCTATAATTCTATCTGCTTCACCTGAAATAGTTTCTTTTGAACTCAATCTGAGAAGTAAACTAGTGTTTACGCGATATCGAATGATAGACATTGACTGTAGGTTTTGAGGTCAAACAGAAATTGATGGACTTACCTCAACCACAATGTCGCCCGATATCTGGAACATCAATACTAAATATTGATACTCACAACTATAAGGGCTAAATTATACCTCAGCTACAGAGCCCATTAAGATTTTGAACGACTTTTCTTTGTTGCTGTCTTTCCACCAACACCTGTTGATAAAGGCCTCGTAATGTCTCACGGAAGTATCTGTAAGACTATTTGGTGCCGAGGAATTTGTGAGACTCTTCTTTGATGGAACTTAGTCCACCGTCTTAGAATTTGTAGTTTTTGAGTTGGGTGGAGAAATTTGGTTCTATTTCCATCTTTTTATTTCCACAGGAAGTTCACATTTGTTAATAAGAACAAGAGTCTTTTTCTTCGAACTCTCATATTCACTTTCTTTTCAGCAAGCATCTCTGGAAGATCTTCATTATTTTAATATTGTGTTTTATTTCTATTTCATATTTTTTAAACCCCTCTTTAATATTTTCTGCGTCAACGTCTTGATCTTTTTTCTTCTGCTCTTTCGTTAGTATGAGTACAACTCGCCAACATGTGCGGGCACAGGACATCAAAGTTGGCTGTATACTGTTCCTTCCAAGTACAAGCTATACGGAGGATTTGGAATGTATGTGGTCTGATGTCAATGGCCATCCTTGTCGAAACAATGGACGTTGTGTTTTGAAGCAAGAGGGGCACAATCACCCTGTAGTGATCATTGGAAAACATGATGGGCTCGATGGGATGATGCCAGATATACCTAAGCTATCATTTGTTCAAGTAAGGACATTTACAGTACTGGTCAATGGTTAGTAATTTATAAAGGCTAACAGAATACTGATTAGATGACTCATGGTACCCCACAGAGCGCTACTACCTCTGGACCGTCGATTTTTTCCCCCTACGGACATTACGAGATCGCCGAGAGTACTGGGCGACTGACTTTTCCACAAAATTTCCGCTCGCGCTACTGGTTTCGAGGTGTTGAGTACCTCCGCCGCGGTCCAGGTAATTTTAGAATCCCTCATGTTTTCTTCGCTTCGCCGGGGAGCCTTAGAACTATGACCACGGGTCCTGGAGCACGAGCATACGATTCACGTTTGGATGAAGGATCCTATTTGAGGTTGATGCAACGACTAAATCTTGAGCCGAAGACATATGTACACGATGATTACTGGGGCGATGATTGGCCTGCACTTCCCAATGTCGACTCAGCCAAGCATGAACAACCACCTTCCCACTCCGAAACCAGTAGGCCTTCAAGAGTTGAATCGGCGGATTCGCTCAACCAGCCACACGGTCATCATATCGCAAATCGTGGATGTATGGCAGACAACTTGGAGTCATACCTAGCAGTACCCATCCTTGGCCCTGCCCCTCGCGGTAACGAGATCCTTTAATATTTTGTTCTGCAGTGAGTGCGCGCTAATTAATACATTTCACAGGCCGAATTCACAGGGTCAGCAATCAATCAATGAATAAGTCATGCCCTACAATGTGAGAATCGTCATTGAGGAGTGAAATATTGAAGACAATCTCTGACTTTTGTTTTTAGTATTGATGGGGAAGACCAAAACCAAACTTGGAGCGAAATTGCAATGCTATAGATGGGAATTCCGATCAGAAGTGTGTACTTGGAAGATATCAGCGGATGCTTAATATTTGTTTCTCTAGACTGCGTTGCTTTCTTGTGATTTTTTGTCGAACATTTCCAGTCCTTGCTGTTTTATAGCCGCATTTAATCATCGTTCATCATCTTAACTATCTTTTATTACATGATTCTTGAGAGTTTTAGTATTTGCAAACAGAGTCACGATTTTAACCATCCCTACACCAGACTCGGGCCACCCGATGACGAGGTCTTGTTATGGTTCGCATATGTTTTTGGCGAACCATGGGAATCCTTCGAGGCAGACCTAAAGTACCTCGGATTCCATTGTCCTGTCCCTCCTAATTTATATTGATGCCCGAATCAATATTTTAAAGATGCGCCACCTAAAGTTATCCCGGGGCTGATATGGTTTGATTGCAAGGTCTATGACCGGAAACTCATGAAGAAAGACAATTTTTCTGCGCTCTTGTTGTAATCAAGGAGGTGTGAATTGAAATTGAACAAACGCACGATTGTCACATCAAATAGCTTTACGATCGCTTTCTACTTCAACTTTTGCATATCAATTCCTACTGGCTCAAATCAATTTAGCAACAAACCAAAGCTAAACTTACAACAATAAATCACAACGTTTGGGAATATTTCAAATCCAAAAGCTTGAGTTCTCTGATGATCAAATTATAATTATAATAAATTTCAAGCTTTGGAAACCAAAAGATACAAAGAACCGCATCCCTAACATGCAGAAATCCCGATAAATGATATCTGAAGAGTTATGGGTCAATCTAATCAAAAGTTTGAAAAGTCTTTCCCATGTACATTCAATCCTGCCATCTGGATACTCCATATCAGTAGAAAAGTGATCACATGTAATTAGTTCTTTCGATATTCGTAATCTATGGCTCGTTCAATGGTCGCCCTGTACCAGGTATCTGGCACATCCCGACCATCCGAATGTTTCCCGCAAACGTTGAGCCTCTCAACCTTGGGAGGTACGGAATTGTCTTTGGTGTGTTGTTCTTGGAAATTTAATCATTGGTTAAGGTTATGGTAAGTGCAGTGATCGCAATTTCCTGTTCCTATTCGCACGGTAATTCTAGCTTTCCACCAATTGGTACGGCTCCAAATAGTTCGATTTGATGAGCCAATAACTCGGTAGTCCCGCGCTTATGATAAATGAAGCATAATAACGATAGTAAGAGATAGTTCGAATCAACTTGTTTTCGTTCTTATCATGAAAATGATTGCACTTGACTTGAGTTTTGGGGAATGGAGTTGAAGGATTATAGATTTTGCTTAAGCGCTTTCTAAAAATCAGATGAAACGCTGTGGACGGTAAGATGCGGGGTTGGATCGAAGGAGGGGGACGTCGCATTAACTTGCTCGTGGTATTTCAATTGTCGCAGCAGCCGCAGAAATTTACGTTTTAACAGCTGATCTTGATGAATATTAACAGATAGAAGTCTTATTCCTTAGACTAGCCAAGAATCGTATACATTCAGTCCTGCGAAAAGCCTTCAGTCCTGTTCGATGCAGCTCTCCAAATACGGAATCTATTGATTCGAACCGAATGTCACCCAGCTTCATGTATGTCAGAATGATAAATTGATACATTGATACGGGACATCGACCCCAAAGTTCCCACATCTTCCGAATCTCAAGGCCTGTAATTTTTTTTCACGGCCCCCATAATCAGCGCCGGATTGCTTGAGAAGCTTTGAGTTGTGGCATATCTCTGACGAATATGGCATTTATCGGGGGCCGAAGGATCAATTAGTTAAAGAGGGATGGGGGCTGGTTATGAATATCAAGTATATCATTTAGACTCTGCTCCGGATCTTGAAAAAAAAAACCGACTCTTATAACTTGATAATTTTGTGCTGTTTTTCACACCCAAGACTTCCGCGCATGGCCAATCTTTTGTTTTGGGACCTTTTCCATTTGTATTTCAAATCACGATACGAACTACGAAGTCCTTCACATTCCTTTGTACAGAAGATCCTTGCATGTAATGAGGTTGGAGTCTAAGGTCTATTAGACGCTCTTCCCATCGGCTCTTCTGCATCATTACACAAACCTAAACTCTTCTGGTAGAAGGACTCGTACTCCTTTGTCCATCGCCGAGTACGATGCGCGAAAGAATTTACACTGCCACTTGACTCCAAACTCTGGATGATCATGCTTCCAGCTTCTCACATCCACTCACTCACCATGAGGCAGACGAGGCAGACATTTGTTGAGGTAATAGTACCAATTGTGGCATTGAGAATGAGGACTGATAATTATCTAAGGATTTTCTTTCTCAATCTATTGGATTCACCCTGCCAATCAAATATCCTTCAACGAGTGCATCTGCCGCCATGCTGTCCAATCAAGGTTCGGTTCGAAGGACTATGCAGCTGGTCATGAACAACAAACCACGACGACATGTTACAGTTTATTCCTTATGCTAAAGCTAGCAGTTTTTCTTGACTTAGAAAGTATGCAGCTATTGATATATAAAGCTATGTCTTGCGAGTGGTTAGAGCGTATAGTACCACACAATCGCCAAAGAAAAGCAAACTCAGTCTCACAACATGGGATTACATTGATTCCTTTTCCCATCCCAGATTATCAGAAGGTTTCAGTCTACCTCAAAATACCACATCAGCTCTTTCAATTCCTTGACTGGGAACGTTGATATCCCCTTATCTAATACCAACCAAAAGTACTGTCTCCAACATCTCCCGATATTCGAACATCGACACCAATATCGCACCAAGTCTTCGATCCAACACCAAACTCATAGATCAAAACTAAGGTATAATCTTATCTCACAAATTTGAATGACGCAGCCTTGAACTTTCAAATTAACTCTGCTTTAGTCCCTTCCTCCATCAAAAACATTCCGAATCACTCGCTCAACACTCATGAGCAATTAAGTCTTTACTACCAAGCAAAGCTTTGAAGATCAAGACTCAAAGGCTCATGCACTTTCGCATCTTCCACCATCGCCTTTGCCTTCATTGGACCAAGATAGAAAAGCTTGAGAAATCTGATTTCAGGCGGGTGTGCTGCCAAGGTTCCAAACCAAAAAAGAAAGCAATTGAAAAAAAGATATTCACCATGCTTGGAAGACGTTATGGAATACCAAATTCCCTCCACATTTCCACAGATAGTCGAAACGAAGCGGAATGCACCGGGTCACCACATTCTCGTGAGTGTTCTCACAGAGTAAATATGATGCAGTACCTTCGGACCGATCCAGCACTACCTTATCGAGATTCCATTATAAATGGCAGCAGAAAGGAAGCAGCACTATCACCGCAAAGCTTATTCTCTTATGATGGTGAATACATATCTCCCAGTCCGACGAAGTTTCAAGAGAGCGCAAAGGATACTTGTTTGACAGAACTCTCCGGGGAGAGTAATTTTCATGAACTTCCGGATAGCAGCCTGTTGCCAGAACTTCCTGAAGACAGTCTGACTCATGATCAGTCAACTCCAGTCGCAGGTCATAGCTTTCTTAACAACCAAAAGCGAATATCGTCCACTTTACGAGCCATCGTGTCTCCAAGTTCCGCATCCAACGGTCGTTTCCAATCTCTTGACACACCTGAAGCAGGCTCAACATCCATCAAAGAGTTTCCATCCGTTCATGGTGATCAAGCTGGCTATAGGACCCCATGGTACATCGGAACTCAAGAGTCAACTCCTAGTGCTGGCCATTGCCTGTCCGATACTCTTGACTTTGGTAACCCTGCAGAGGCTGGAATGGTCGATATAACCGCTGAGATACGAGTCCAGATGGATGCAGCGTATCTGTCGCCAGATTCTTCGATCTCCATGCCTCTCCAATCTCCCAGATTTCGTGGATCAATGTGCCCTGCGATTCAGACGGACGTGAGAAAGTTCGAAAGTAACGTTGAGGCCATTCAATATCAAGGGCGGCTACTTGAAGATTCGCCTCGGATTTCGTCACCAGATACTGCCAGTACGAATACTAGCGGTGAAACATTTACAAGCGATTCGGGCTACGGCCCAAGAGCCCCCCAATCCGACTATACTTCTGCAACCAGCCCGAGAAGTCTTTTTTCAGGAGACGAACGTTTAGGGTTTGAGAATGCATTTTTCATTAAAGCTGGGCAGCTAGTAAGCCCATCAGAATTTCGTCACGAAAGGTACTTTGACCAAAGTTCCAGTCTGCAATCAAAACAACCAATTGATTTCAATGCATTTGGCCCTGCGACTATTCTGTCTGAGCTCGATGATTTATGCAGAGATCAACACATGCAAGCTTCATATCTTCCTGATTTTAAAGAAAACATTTTCGATTCTGGGGAGATGGGAGTTATTAACAATTCTTTATCCGCATACATGGCACAAAATGTCACAGATATTGATCAAAGATTTCCAAACCACTTCTCTACCGACGATACTGCTCAATACGTACAATCCACAATTCAACGCGGATTTGGCTGCTTGAAAAATATCATACCCGGAGCGGAAGATTGTGAGACGACCGACGCTGCTACTTTCAGTGCGGCCATGGAGACTGAAAATCAATACGTTCCAAATATCTTTGAAACTTACGAAGAGAAATATGCATCTCCGTGGTCTGCGGAAAACATCCGGTAGGGTACCATAACCCTTCTCAAAGAAGAATTTATGCTTACTAGTCTTTGTAGAGGATTTAACAAGAATTTTAATTTTGCGACCATACCCGAGACCCAATTGCCAATAGAAGAAGAACAAACAAGGACATCCACTTACGACAGTCCATCCCCAAAATCTGACAACAAGGTCATGAAGTGTTCTTACCCAGGCTGCAATTATGAGCCGAGCGGAGAAGACCAATGGAAATCAGGCAATCTAAGAAGACATGAGAAAGAACATAAGATAACTCTTAAGGATCGGATCGTTTGCAAGATGAAGGACTGTAAAGCGACATTTACAAGAGCAGGAAACCGCGATGCTCACTTAGAGAATATGCATGGTGCTGTAATTCTTAGACAAAAGCGAAATCGAAGAAACTCAATGGCGGAAAATACCAAGAGGCCAAGAGCCGGTAGCAGAATTACAAAAGCACCACGAAAAATCGGCGGATTGACAAGCAGACCTAAACAGAATCGATCACAATCAGTTCCCGAGCTTTTGAAAAATACTGAATTCTGAGGACATTTCTTAATTTCCCGTTTTGTTTTTCAATTTCCTTCGACAGGAATTTACTTGGGAGATTTGCTTTTTGGAATAGTCATTAAGGTACTTGTCGGTGTGGAGGAGCGAAAGAGCTGGTTTCTTCAATGAGTGGCAACCTTCAAAGAAGGGCCCGCGTGGTTTAATGAGGATTTCTTTTTCATCTGGATCTGAGGAAGGGCCGAGCTGCTTTTTTGCCTTGTTTTTTCGGGCCAATGAGCATTGAGGTTCTCTGTCCCTTCTAATTTATCATCAAGCTGGTTTATTGTTTATTGGGCGGGTCCAATGGATCGATAATATACTTTTTTAATATCTTAATCATATCAGCTAGCTCATCTAGCATTACAATTAAATGAATAACGACATTTGATTCACAGTTTAAGCTCACGTCTCCCCATCATTGACGTTCACATAATATAAATACAGGCATTGCAAGACCTAAGATGAATCTTAGTAAACGGAGGCAACGATTAGGCGCTTCAGAATTCAGTTCAAAGTAGCCATCGTGTTAACTATCATATGTTGTTAACTCCCACAAAGAAAGCTATGGAAAGACAATATGATTAAATTAACAATGATATCGAGTTCCCGAAGCCCATCTTCCAAGACGTGATAATGTAGAATTCAACCCACACAGTTATCCGAGTGCATTCTTTGAACACAATTTCTAGAGTTCCGACAGGAAGATAACAGAACTAACTGAATCATAGAATACTGTTCGATATCTCCGAGTTGCCCACTATGAGACTATGTGTAAAGTTATGAAGTCAAAATTTCTAAAAATAGAGTCTGTCAAGAGTCCTGGGTTGAGACTGCATGTGTATTATTAGATCTAGATCTCATACCTCAAAATGCCATGAAAGGACTCGACGATACCAGCATGAATCAAAAGCTTGACCCAAGCTTAGAAAGTCCTGTGTCTTCAAGTCCTTCACATTCCTTCCTGCAGGCTTTTTGTCCCGCTGGAGGACCTCCCAAGAGAACACCACCGAAAAAATCCTTCCGGAAAGTACCACCCCAGTCTCCATGTGAGATACATGGTGCCATGATCGATTACTTGTCGTCTCTTATCACAAAATGACCCATAATCAAAGCCTTCAAATGAAAACACGCCACCGTGCACTCATACGGTATGTTTGAGATCAATTATCAAGATTTGGGGGCTTGTATAGCCACAACAGATGCAGATCTTTGGGGGCAGCGATAATTTGAACACAAATGAATTAAACTATATTGTCCACACTTCCCAGAACCTGCACATAAACACAATAACCATTCAACACATTTCTTTCCCGCGCGACATTCGATGTCAAAATAAACCCCTCATTATTCAACTCATCAATTATCACCATGATTCCCTTATCCCAGATTACATCCACCCTTTCCCTACACCCAGAGACGAACTCCAAAAACTGAAAAATACCCAGCACTAGCCTCACTCATCTACGTCCCGCAGCATTCCATCCTCTTTCCCATTCTTGGAGTCTGGCTTCACGTCTCGTCTCCAATCCTTGCGGGACTCTCTCGAAATTCTGATCTTCTCGCAAATACACATTCACATTATCTCTTCCAGGGGCAGGTAGACCTTGGAGCGAGTGTTGTGTAAGCTGTGCAGGCTGCACGGTTTGATACTGTGTTTGGAACTCTTGCTGCTGGTTGTATTGTGGAGCCCACGTAGTTGAAGTGTTCTGATAGGTGGTCTGCTGATATTGATCACTTTGGTAAGAGGGATTTTGATAGGCGAGTTGTTGGGTTTGAGGCTGTGCAGAATAGGATTGCGTATATGGATCTTGCTGGTATGGTTGTTCTTGGTAGGTGGATTTTTGATATCCTTGAGAGTGTTGTTGGTAACTTTGTGGTTGCTGATATTGAGTGTATTGAGGGGTTTGTCCAGGCCCGCTGGGATTTTGAGCTCTAGATCAGTTCGTGAGTTATGCGCAGCGTTTGTGAGAAGATTTATACTCACTGATATGTAGGATTATTACTCGTCATTTTGGTAAAAGTGTTGCAAGAAGGGATCTTCAGCTGTTTGAGACAGATTGATTATCTTGAGACTCTCGAGTTGAATTCAAAAGAAGTAATCGTTTGTTGGATAACGATGAATCGCTGCCATTAGCTTCGTTTATATATTTTTCCTCTGCTGCTACACTATACAACTTTCCAGTTCTTCCTTTGGGGACATACTGCAACTTTGCTTATCCGTATGATAGGCTCCAGGAAAAATCAAAATCAAGGAATTTTGCCTTGGAATCGTGACTGGCGAGTCCTGTACGATGTTATGAGCGCTAACTCGTCGGCTCGCTTATTTAAGGGGGGGGGCATACCATATGTTCCAACACGTCTTTGATTTTCAGCTTGCCCAATAATCAGTCTTTGACTACTAATGACCCAAAGCGCACTCACTAAAACGAAATGCAAGTTAACTCTAGCAAAGTCCTTTCGCATTTAATACCAACAACACGGTCAATTTTCCATGTGACAAAACGAAGGACTTGCGTCATCGCAGTGGAAATGTACCAGACCTGCAAAGACTCAATACATCAACAATAGGACTGGAAGGAATCGACCCGATCCATCGGTATGAAGGACTTAAATATGCAACATTTGTGAGTTTTTGCAATAGAAACTGTTGCCGAGAGGCTCAAAAGGCGTGCATCAAGTCTCATGACCATCCAGTGTGCAAGAATTGCACAGTGAGCAGCAGGTAGGCCAGGAATAAGCTTCGAAAGATCAAATTGTCCAAGTAACATGGAAAGGTAGAGGCGCCGACCTGGAACTCAGCTTTCATTCACTGATTTCCAAGGGACTGTGTAAGTCCTTGAAATTTCATACAATGAATCATTACAAATTAAACAATAGAAGAATGTATTCTGATATCCTGATATCAAACAATTGACCAATAGATTCGCTACCAGCATGTGATATAAAGCTACAATTTAGAATCAAGAAAATTAAATGAAAAGGTAGATATACTACTAGGATAATAACTGTGCCCACTAGTTTGTACTAAGGTTTGAAAGATATGAAAGTTTGAATGCGTCCCTGCTCAGCAATTCAACAACCAAGCGATTATCACTATCAAACAGCAGCCTGAACCATTGAAGATCTGCACATAGCATATGACACTAATCTGTGACTATGACACGACAACGAAAGCTCATCTTCATTTTCTTTATTATTATTTGCTGCAAGACGTATGTGCCTCTTTTCCCTCAAAATCAATCGCTATGACTCAACCCAGCAGTAGATATTCCACAAGTGTTGTCAACCAAAACTCCATGCTTACAAAATGAGGTATAGTAATACAGATCTGTACTATGAATTATATGCAACTCTATCATCTTGTCTCAATATAACAAACGGGCTGTATCTCCAGAAACCCTGAAAGTTGACACCTCAATAAGGTGGCATACCAACATTTCCTTTTCCATCCCCACCAATCTCAATACCACTCAGTAGATCTTGGAGATCTACCACCTTTCCATTGTCTTCACCCCATGGCATACCTGAGTATCCACCAGCTCTACTCTTTGTGCTTCTTTTTGTGCTTCGACCGGTTCGAAATGCTTCGGGCGAATGATTTTGCGCTTGGTCGTGAATGGATATGTTTTCACCCACAAGCGAGGATGGAAGTGGTGGAACAGGGGGGACTGTTGTGCCATCATGTGCAGCATCTGCTCTATCTCGTGATTTCGATCTCGATCGTCCGGTCGAACGCATAGATGCAGATCGTTCTACACCCGAACTATTCTGCTGGTTGTACGTGTTGATAGATATCTCTGAAGCTGAGAAGTCATAACTAACCATGCTCTCACTACTTGCATCACTCTGTGGCGCGCCGGCCCTTGTAGCTGGTAAAGGTGCTGTCTGACCCGAGAGTACTCGTTTTAATTGATCAACCCTTGTTACTGACCCACGGCTTGATTCACTAGTAGGCGCATGTGAATGCCCACTACTTTTTCTCAGTTTGTGCATGGCACCAATCCCGCTAGCGGTTCCGTATGTCGAATTTGCCCCACTTTTTACATTTTGAGCACCAGTAGGAGATGCTGTTCCACTGTTACTACCATTACCGAGTCCATTAATAGTAAGGAAATTACGATGGCCAGTGGTCATTGTACCTGCACGTGACCCACTGATTGAGGCAGTTTTGCTAGTTTCCTGCGCAACAGCAATCACAGATTCCTTATTCCATTCTGACATCATTTCTTCCTTGATTCTTTCCGGTATGATGGTATCTCGTGTTGACGAAGGCACATCCGCACTAAGTATTGGATGGGTAAAGCTTCGGCCAGGAGATGTTGGGGGGCTGCTTGGAGGAGAACTTAGAGATGCTGCATATGATAATGAGATAAGTTTGACCAATTGAAACCTGTCATCAAAGGTTGACAAAGAGTCGGCTCCAGCATAACTGGGAGTTTGTTCTTGTTGAGATACCACTTTCCCTTGTGGGCCAATATCATGGAGTTTAACAGGAGGAAATCGAATGCTATCAGCCCAAAACATAGCCTTTTGACGTTGACGGATTTCGTCTTGGATTGTCTTGCCAACGGGTGACATTTCAATTTCGAACTTCTCGCACAATGCCCAGAAATATCCATGACATAGACTTCCGATTCGGACTTTTTGAACTGGGAGTTCAAACGATTTTATATCTTCTTGTAATCGAAACATCATAGGTAATCCGCTTCTGATCGCATTTACTCCCAAATGCTTGACAAGACTTGTGAGAAGAAGGTGTAGTAGAAGTACATCGTTCTCGTATTCTACAAATTGCAAGGCATTCTCATAGATGGCAAGATGTAGCAGTTGGGAAAATGTTGTCCGGGATGACGATCTAGAGGGTTTCTCTGCTTTTGATGCGTTCGAAACTGCTCTCTTCGTGAGATTGGTGGATGATTCATCCCGTGCACTCTTCGCCAATCCCTTCGGCTTATCATCAAAGATTTGCTGATCAGTCTTGGTGACTTCCCGATCAAGCCACGTCAATAATGCATCAGCGTACGCTCTTCTCACACGCCCATCCGTGTCACGTAATAACCATTGTGTACCTTCCCAAGTCTTGATTGGAACTCTATTTCGTCCCAGATTTCCAGCAGTCATAGTCTTTTGACTTGCCACAAGGAGAATCAACTTTATTGATTCCAGAGCTGTGATCTTGGCTGTATCAAACGAAAAAAATCCATCAGTATTAGGATCTTCGGTCATATTAGTACCAGACAACAGAGCCTCTGTAGCAGATTTTGGATCTTCAATTGCTGCAGCAGTGCTGGGAACTGGTGATAGTGTCGAAGGTTTCAAACGTAATAAGATCGCTGATACCATGTCAGATATTTGATCTGCATAGTAAACGTGCGTGGCCAAATTTCCTAGACAATTCTGTAAACGGGCTAAAAGATCCTTCCTAGTGCCTGTTGGTACAAGAGCGGGTTCGGATGCAATTGACGCATGCAAAGCACCAGCATCGACTTTTTCATCGGCTCCGTTGTCTGGCTGAAGATGAGGCCCACCGACATTTCCCAGTTGGAGAACTATCAATATGTGCTGTATCAGCCCAAGTAAAACATCCATTACGCTTAATCCTATCAGGTTGATATCGGATCTGAGTAAAGAGTCTACCATGGTTGCAAGAACAAGCTGTTGCATAAGAGTGGCCTCAACTTGGTCAGCCCGCACCAAACTATCCATGGCCGTCACCAGAATGACATATCGATCTTGAACTGGAGTCCATCTGGCTATCATTTCAAAAATGCGTGGTGCCCATCCTTTGCAATTGTCGTTTGGACCATTCTCAATGACAGATTCTTTCTGGGAAACTCGGTCTGCAATAAACTTTAATACGGCTGTCGTAGCTCCATGTATCTGAGCTCGATTGTTGACGACAAAGATTTGTTTCAAACATTGTGTAGCTAAAACACCAACGTTTTCCTCTGCCAATTTATCTACGTCTGCAGTTGTTCCAGGTAAAGGGGTAGCATTCTCTCCTTCTGTATCAGCTGTTCTGGCCGTCGCATTGCTTGCTCTTCTCTTTAACAATGACTTTTCTGTTCCAATGTGATCTTCTGTCTCAGCTCGTTGTTGTAATATATCAATGAAGTCCTCATTATCCGTCCAAATATTCTCTAACAGTATCGGCACGATAACGTCTAGTTGTCTTCCCGCCACTGTAGACAAAGCTTCGGAAGATGCGACGCTCTTGACAGCTTGTAAGCCAAGACCCCTCCATCTAATAGCGACCGGCGCGCTCTGAGGGTTACTGCTTGTCTGTGTTCTTGTAGAGGCGAATGACGCGTAAATTCGCACGATTTCCTCGTATTGGTGGAGGTATTCCTGATCCGCGGAAAGACTTGCCATGTCATGATTCTCGCAGAAGACCTGGAAAGTGGGGATTGAGGATTCCACCATGGTGACATCTTGCGCACGAAGTATGATATTGAAAATCTTAAGAACGTAAGGCGCATACAGAGGTAGGTCTCGGGGTGCTTTTTCGATTAAGGCTGCCAGAATCTGGAGGGTAACCTGTACATTTCTATTTTCCCAATCAGCATATATCATAGCTGAACTTTGGACGGATAAACAAACCCTATTCTAGCTCTCCAAACATCACTTGCGGTCTTCTTCTCCAGAAATTCCCCGACCTTTTGCACCTTGCTCCTTCGTGTCGTGGCGTAAAACAAGAGATAACTCAATTCGCTTGAATTTGGCTTGACATCGACTGCCCCCTTTGTTGTCTTGGGATAGCATTTCAGTATAAGAACCTGATGCTTGGGACGGCATTTCTGCCGTATGGCATGCATTGAATACGCGGCGCAAGAATTCAAATTAGAATCTCGGGGGTTTGTTTACTTTCGCACAATCGCAACGTTTTGCTAAATGGCGAATCGAGTGTTTTGTCCAAGTGAGATTTATTCTGAAAACAAGTCTCAAATGTGTGTGACTAACTGTTATCACGAACACGTCGTCAGCTGAAATAAGTTAATATTGAAATTGTTTGGACCCTGCTGACCGAGACTTCCAGGTTGTCTGAGTTGGGAGTTGAATTAAAATCGCTAGGCATCAAATAAGGCTAAGGCTGTAAAAGGCTATACCATACATACTTTTGTACAAACAAGATTTCGGTGAACGGAATCCAAACGCTCCGGGATGACGTAAACGAGGCTGAAGAGCCAAATAAGCAAGGCTACGATATCAAATAAATGAGCAATGAGAGACTGTTGAAGAAAAGGGTTCTCTGAAGGTACATTGGTGAGAATAAAAGTACCTGTCGTGTTCGTTTCCTAAACTTACTAACAACGTGCCATAGATTGCATGAAACTTGTTGTCAAAGAACAGCTCAGCTAGATGATCCACAATCACATGTCAATGCACTGTCAATGCAGAAGACCTGAAGACTGAAGTCTGCAGAGATTCTCTGTTAGCCGTGCGTATTTGTGCAGTTTGACAAGACTTCATTATATCCATGTGTTTTCGGATGAGAATACAAGGAGTAGTATATCAGAAACAAGATCTAGAACATCTAATGCTCCGTCTCTTTGGGATGTCTATCGCTTTGCCCTCGAGCTGCCCCAAGAACCAAAACGTACGAAATGGTATCGAAAAGAAAATCTAAAAGTCTATTAAAACACAATTCTGCATATGTTCAATGCTCAATGCTCGTCCCTCATTCTCTTCCCCCTTATTATTCTATCTATTGTACTCTGTAACGGGCTTCTCAGAATTATATCATTACATCAAAGATTCCCTTAGATTTTGGCTTTCTCTGTTCCGTCTTGGTTAAGTCTCACAACACCCTACAATACTTGTTAGCAATATGCTCAATATGATTCCGCGAAGAAAAACCCTACCTCTTGAAAACAAGTAGCAACCAATGTTCCATCCTGAGTAAACATGTGCTGGGTAACCACTCCTCTCCCATCTCCAGACCATGGACTTGACATCTCCGAAAACATCCACTCGTCTGCTCTAAACCTCCTAGGCTCATGAAAATATATAGTATGGTCTAGACTAACCATCATACCAATCTCTGGCCTCCTCTTTTCATTATTCAAATCATCCCCGAAGCCTTCTGCTTCTTTCAATTTCCTCATATACTTATCGTGGCCGTTTTCTTCTGCAGTCTCTCCCTTCTTTTTCTTTTCTTCACTGCCATATCTCCATAGCTTATGTATTTTCGCAACAGTTCCAATGAAGTAGCTATCACTCATATAAGCCAATGCATTCAAATGTGCCTGATGTCCACCTTCATCACTGATCCTTCCTCTTGCTTTGATCCACTGCCTGGCTCTCTTTTCATGCGGTAGCCCAGTCTCCCCATTCAAAATCTCGAATCTCTGACTAACAAATGGACTATCAGTCCTCATTTCCATCTGGAACAACTCTTCATCCTCATTCGGTGGTTTGATGTTCTTGGGGATTGGAACCGCATGTTCTACTTTTTGTTTCCCTCCACTATTCTCCCTCACAAATGACATAGTGGTTGTGAATATACATTTGCCCTTTTGACGTGCTTGTACTGTGCGAGTAGCGTACGAGCGGCCTTCACGGACATGTTCGACGTAGTACATGACTGGCAAATCGGAGTTTCCAGCTAAAACGAAATAGCAGTGCATGCTGTGTACCGTGAAGTTATGCGGGACCGTGCATTGTGCGGCTGCAAGACATTGTGCGATAATTGCCCCTCCGTATATGCCTCGTGCGCCGGGGGGATGCCATAAGGGGTGAGTATTCGTGAAGATATCCTGGGTAGAGAGAGGTTAGATTCAAAGGTCCATTGAGCAGTCTGCACGGAATTGCAGGAAATCGGGTGCTTACTGGCGCAATTTGACTCAGCTCCCGAAGCTCTAACACATTCTCGATGGCAGATTTCGAGGAATTGATAGGAGGAGGTGGAACAAGCGTTGGCCGATCAGTCATCTTGTTATCGTGAGTGCTTGAAATTAGAAAGAATGTGAGAGAGAGAAGTCTATTCTGAAGAATGAGGCGTAGTTCCTTATTGTAGAAACTCAGGTCCAAATATATATTAGAGTGTAATATCGTAATTCTTTTTCGAAAACAACTTCATACTTTTCATGTTTTATTAATCCCTAACCAAATGTTCTTTGATAAGGAAATCGTTTTTGACCGAGGTTCATGCAAAAGCGGGCCGAGATGTTCTAACGGCCACTCACATGTCTCACTCAGATTTGCCGACATAACCCCTGAAACTTTTTTTAAACTTCAATTTCTCATCACAATCACAAGAAGTGGATTCATCATCTATTTCCAGAATCATTAATTTTGACATTGACCATCAACTACCATTCGAATGGATTCCTCCTTGGTAGCGGTTGAAGCCGAGGTTCGTATTGACTTCATAGTGGAGCTCAGCCTTGGGCCCTTGGCTGCAGTATCTGCCCCTTTCTAGAAAGCTCATTAGGCAATAAGCATACCACAACGACTAAAGTGTAGTTTCAAACCTCATTACAAATCTCAAGAAGACATGCATAGTATTAATGTTCATGAACATATCATCAAGACCCATATTATTACCTGGTACCGTGTTGTACTGTATGATACATTGCCAGCATAATTGCGATTCATCTTTCCAGCCAAATCATATCTCAACAGCTCTTGACCACAAAGAACATGCACGAGCCTGCGTCGTCAATGTACAGTCTATATTTTACTATAGCCTAAGACAAAATCTAAGCTCCTATCCTACTCAGCCTTTCTATTAGTCCTTTCCAGAGAAAAGACTGGAGGATGGATATATTTGCGTGAGTTACCAGGCCTGGCCGCGGGCTCGATAATGTATATTCCCTAGCCGTATCGTGTACTTCGCGTGGTAGCTCGTTGAAGTTTGGAAAATTTGCTTGCGGAATACATTTTGTCTTTCGTTCAGTGATAACGATAGTACCTGCATTTAAGTGATCTTCTGTCTCACGAAGGTTGTTGTGCGCGTTGTGCAAGTAGACAGCCGCATCGGAAGACTCAAAATCATCTAATCCGCTAAAACTTGAAGACGATGAAATCTAACGACCAGCATTTTCTGGCAGAATAAGTCAGCTCAAGGCTGTTTGCTAAAGTCGAGGAAAGTCAAACACATAAATCACCCTTGTCATCAAAGAGTTTCTGTCCGTTATCCGTATTGTCCTGAAGGCTTCTTCCTCTTTGCTCGTGTTTCTATCTTGATATTGAATATGAAAAAAGATTGTCTTTTGAATGCCTTATATAACATTACCCAGATACCCATCTCCTTGATGAGTGATACACAATAAGACGCGGCGACACTCGCGACTAGATGGGTATCTACTTGGGGCCAAAGACACTATTGATCACGGGTAATGCTTCGAAGGTTCTCATAAAAGTTGGAATCGAGGGTTTCTAGTGTGGCTTCAAGATGCTGAGTAAAATCCCACCGATGGATTTGCTTTGGTCAATCTTTGAAATTCTGTTCCGTATATTTCGTTATTTGACAAGATGAATGGGGAAACATCCTTACATTCCAGAAAAGAAGATACTGAAAGTGCCTGCCCGTCTATTTTGCAAGTTATTTGAAGCGTTTCTCGACCCTTCGAGCCAATTGGAGGGACTACTTTGAGATTCCCAAATTTGGTGTAAAATCTGGAGAGATAAAATTGTTCGCTCTCACTCGATCTATAAACCCCGAGTTCACGAATCGAGAATGCATTTCCCAAATATCGAGAGTAGTTGTTCAATTATACATTGGATTTCCATTGGCCAACATCCGCAAGGCTGAAAGCTTCATGCGTAAACATATTAACTGAGGTGGCACATCAAATCCATTCTCGTCAATTTCTTGATCTTGGCATACAAAAGGTCGTGACTTTCCATGCTTCGAACGGCGATCGAGTAGATCGCATACTCTTCCGACAATGTTACCTTGATCCCCTTCCTTTCTCATGACTACAGCGGTGCTTGTAGCGCGGAACTGAACAATGAGATCGCCAATTTGTGCATTGTCTGATACGTATCCTATCATCCCATTCTCTTCCAAGAACAACCTGACTTGTGTAGTATTGCTAGATTGCTCTGCCTTCCATTTTGCTTCATGGAGGGTTTGATTGAACGAGGACATTAGTTGATTCACTATGCGATCTCTCTTTCCTGGTGGCACCGACTTTTGACGCGGGCTTGACACATCAGAAGCCAGCAAATCGATATCCTCGACTCTAGGGGCAGCTTTCAAGTAAAAGGCTGAAAATGAGCATTTCTCACGACTCCCGTAATTGCAAATATCATCGATATTATGAAGTCGATCATTGTGAAAGTATCCTTTACCGCCGCGTTGATGAAAGAAGTAACGCAATTGATCCTCAATGAGTGGAGTTGCATTCAAGTCTAAAAAGTCTAAATCTCGAAGATAGTCTGTTAAGCATAAATTTTTTAGCGGTGGGCTAATATACACAATAGATCCTCGAACATTTCCAACTGCTTTCATTATCTCTTGGCCTTCCAAAGCATCTGGATTATGATCGAGGAAATCTTGCACGATATGAATTGAATTGGGCATCGTTCTCGCAAGAGTTTGTCGGAAATGTTCATATTTCTGAAGAACGTCAAGTTTATCGGTATGGCGGCGGAAATGATGCAGAGTAACCATAGATATAGTTTCGAAGAACGTTTGTCTATAATCTGCAGGCGTGGCCTTGGTGCAACAATCCTTTGCAAGGCTATACAAGCCAAAAAACCTATCTCTTTGATCGGTGCATAATGCTTCACTGTGAGTCAGGAAAAGATCTAGCAAGGGGATTCGTTCCTTGATCTCTTGTCTCCTCTTGGATAAGCGAGATGGTACACTATTTCGGATAGCTTCCAGTGTCTGGAGTAAGCTAAAGTATCCTTTATCGCCGCCTCCAGCTAACGATGTACCAACATATAAGTTTGTGGCTGTCTCTTGAATAGTATTCATTCGTCGAAACACCCAATCTAGGCGCTCCCAATCAAAGATTAATGATGAGCAGTGCGCTTTGATTTTTGAAGCGAGGACTACCTCTTGTATGATCCAAAGTCTTTGCCAATATGGCCTGTGGCACAGCATAGACAATTCAGTCCAAAACTTTACATGAGAAACAGCTGCATGTTCTGTTATGGATCTCGATAACTCTTTCGCAGACGTTGCGGAATTGCCTAGACTGTCTAGCAAAGTCATTGCGCCCCAATAATCTCTTCCAGCTTTCCCCAACCACACAATAACCTCATCGGCTTTCGCATATATTTGACTCATAAGTGCAACTTGCGCATTGCGCTCATCAAAGTCTTCTTGATTGATGCATACAGCATCCACCCACAGATAACGCCGCCGACTCCGCAGACGAAGAGCTTCTAGTGCTGCAAATAAATTGTCTCGCACGTAGTAATCTGTCTTATCAATCTTAATTGTTTTTTTTGCAGGCAAATCACCCCATGCATAAGACAATGCCTCATATTTCACATTGGTGAGTAGAGAAACATGAATAAATTCATAGTTCTGGCCACTGGAGCCGGCGCATGGAAGAATGAGAAGGCGAATATCTTCTCTATCAATATCCAATGGTTTATAGGAAGGTTTGGAACCCCTGACGGGCGTATAGTGATTTAGGTCTGCAGAAAACGGGGAATTTGAGGTGTCGATTGGAGGGAGTGCAGGTGATGTGCAACCATTCATTGGCATTATTGACACAGTTGTTTCTTTCAAAGGCCCATTAGGAGCCGAAGGAGGTGTAGTTTTATGCATGAGTATTTAACGCCGCAAACTCGAACCAATTAGATTTGATTCATTAATTGCCAGTGGTGAGTTTGACCATAGGTCCAGGTTCATTTGTCGAGTTATTGGCTAGAGATGTAATAAGATGCAGTCGGAATTATTAGGTAGAATATCCTCAACATCGCCAGTTCAATCCAAGAGGTTAAGGGATTCATCTATCATGGTATGGACTAAAGTATACAATATACACTCTCTGTTGAAGTTGAAGATAACATCGTCGCATATAATAGCGATGGTGGGATTCTAGAAAAGTCGGTGTTTGAATGACAACCTTGCAGATGCATCACTAGCGTGATTCATATTATACCGGTCACATGTTGTATTCATGGCAATTGTTCAACGGGTAAGTTCAGTAAATGCCAAGTGCTCCTATCAATGTACACGGCTCAAGTGGTAATCATGAAGCTCAAGGTCGTCCATTTTGGTCCCGGGTTATTGGTATTATAGTGAGCTTATACGAGTCAAAGGCTGTTACTGCGGGTAGGTTCAAGTAATTTGATTCCATTCGAGATCCCACAAAGCTCGTTTCAGACCCCTTTCACTGCACCGTACAAAGACTACATAACACGGCGTAATGAAGATACACCACCGTGACTTGAACAATCGATTCAGAAGAGTGTATGAAAATAAACGTGTCAGAGCCGTGAGATGAAATGAGACCTCAAATGAAGATTGCATGTCCCTCGCATTGATGATATATGTTCGTTCACCCAGAAATGATACAAGGTATTGGATACCAGCTGATAGCCTGTTTATAAGATCTTTTATTCTCCGAAACGCCGGATCAAAATGTCGACTTCCCACACCGCTGATCTCAAATATGCTACTATCAATGTTGTATACTCCGAAAACCAGCCCCGAGCTTAATCGAACTGAAGGTATTACATTAGTTAATGTAGGAAACATTGCAGGATGACTTACTGGTGTTAAGAACGATTCTGCAACGAATCTTGCACGAGCATTCAACTATTGCCTGTCAGTGACCGATCTGATTTTAGGTGAAGGTAAAGCTCACAAATAGCTTCATTTCCGAGATTTCCTTATCGACCTCCTCCATAAATTCTATGATGAAGTCCACCAGCTTATGCTTTAACATCTCCTCTGTGTGGAAGTTCGTAATCAAAAACGAGATATCGTAGCCCTATTCAAAATCAGCCTCCAGCCCTTGCACATCTGAACCTGCCACCCACCTTAACGGGTTTCCTCCTAAGAATGAAGAATGCTTCTGCTCTTTGAGTCAAGAACCTTGTGAATTTGTGTACGAGAATGTGCTCAATTTCGTCCGCTTGTTTGATGTTGATACTGATTCGGACACTGTTGATACTGGGTTCAATGAGAACTCGTTCATTTTCATTACGTGCGACTGTCAATGAATTTAACAGAACTTCCGGTGAAGTCTTAGCTTCAATTTCGGGAACATTATGCCTTTCGGAGGTCTGGGATGCGAAGTTCGAGAGACATAGAGCTGCTGTCAAGGAGGATCGTACGCATTGAAGGTAAGGTCGCAATGATTGAGACTGCAGGATTTAGTTTAGTAAAATTCTGCCACTCTTAAAATCTTTAAGCTATAATGATAGGAATTTGGGATTGCTACATACCATCTCGTTGATGTTTCTTATTTCGAATGCCTCCTTTCAATAAGAAGATGTCATTAACAGTACCAACCAGCCGTACGTGTTGTCGATGCTTTGGTGGGGCTTTCTCTCTAATCGTCAAGGAGTCAAGCAGCCCCGGACGGAAAAAGCCGCATGGACGAAGGAAACCTTCCAACCAAATATATCTCACTTGGTTCAATAATCGATATCAAATCAGATAATCATTATTTTGAATTGGAATTTGCGGAAAGGAATTGAAACCTCCTATTTCATCATATTCTTAATCCTTTGATCTCCAAATATCGTGAGTATCCTTGAGTGACATAAACTATACCAAGACATTAAGTGTTTTAAATCGTTGGTAATCGGGTCGGGTTACATGGTGGAGTCAGGCATCCCACAAAGCTACGTAAGGCGCGCTAAGAGAACCGTCCCGTTTGCTAGGTATTTATCTACAAGTCTACCTACCACCTACCTACCTTTCTCTGAACAACTTTCACAAAACGTGAGCCCCTCATCATCATGTCGAATATACCGATCATTATCAAGCATCAAGGCAAGAAATATGATATCGAGCTCGATCCTACGTCCAACGGCGAAACCCTAAAATATCAGCTCTATTCTCTCACTGGCGTTGAGCCAGAACGACAAAAGATCTTGGTTAAAGGCGGGCAACTTAAAGATGACACTGATCTTTCGAAAATCGGCGCCAAGCCAGGACAGACATTTCTGATGATGGGAACACCTGCAGAGGGAGGAACACTTTCTAAGCCAAAGGAACCGATAAAATTTGTTGAAGATATGACCGAAGCAGAAGCTGCACAACAAGTTGGAGCAACACCAGCCGGATTACAAAACTTGGGAAATACATGTTATCTCAACTCAACGTTACAAACTCTCAGAGCTATTCCAGAGTTGCAAGATAGTCTGCAGAAGTTCACACCATCTGAAACAGGTTCCAACAACATGCTCAATGCATTCCAACTCAGTCGACCCCAATCGCTCGATCTGACAGCCGCAATGCGAGATTTGTACACGCAGATGTCAGAAACACAAGAGGCGTTTCCGCCACTCATTTATCTCAACGCTCTACGACAAGCCTTCCCACAATTTCAAGAAAAAGCCAAGAATGGCCACGGCTATGCACAACAAGATGCTGAAGAAGCTTGGACGCAAATCCTCCAGGTACTACGATCAAGCTTAAAGATTGGTGAAGGTGGAAACGCTGAAGGATCTTCATCTACGTCGGTCTCTTTTGTTGACAAATATATGGCGGGAGCATTCCAATCTATCACGGAGTGTGATGAGCAAGGTGCAAAGGACGCAGGCGAACAACCAATCAAAGGAAATGATGTTTTCTTGAAGCTGGATTGCCATATCACTGGCGCAACTAATCACCTTCGAGATGGACTGGTCGCAGGATTGGAGGAAAAGATTGAAAAGAGATCTGAAGTCCTTGGTCGCGATGCCATATTTACCAAAAAATCCAAAATCTCACGTCTTCCCAAATACCTCACTGTCCATTTCGTTCGATTCTTCTGGAAACGCGAGGCTCAAAAGAAAGCAAAGATTATGCGCAAGGTTACATTTCCTCATGAATTGGACGTAGTAGAATTCTGTACGGATGAGCTCAAGCAAATGTTGATCCCGGTCAGGGACAAGGTTCGTGAAGTACGAAAGGAAGAGGAAGATATTGAACGTGCTCGCAAGCGTCAAAAGCGTATCCACGATAAAGAAGAAGCTGACAAGAAAGCTGGCCTTGTCGATGAAGCATCATCTTCCTCAAAGAAAGATGAGAAGAAGGAGACTAAGTCTAAAGACGGTGATACCGAAATGGAGGATGTTGTTTATAAGACCGACGCGGAGATTGATGCGGAAAAAGCTGCTTCAATCTTGGAGGCCAAGAAGGAGTTGAATGCGTTAATCAACCCAGAGCTTGCCAAGGATGACGGAGCCAACAAGTCTGGTCTTTACGAACTTCGTGGTATCGTTACCCATCAAGGTTCTAGTGCGGATAGCGGTCATTACACTTCATATGTGAAGAAGCAAGGACCACTTGACCGCAAGACTGGCGTACGTGGTGAGGAAGATGGAAAGTGGTGGTGGTTCAACGATGACAAGGTTTCAGAGGTCGATGCTGAGAAGATTGCTACTCTTGCTGGTGGTGGAGAATCTCACTCTGCGCTCATCTTGCTCTACAAGGCTATCCCATTACCTACTGCTGAAGGTATCAACCAATAAACTCGGGAGTTCTCCATTGACTTTAAAAGAAAAATGGCATACATTATAATTACATAGTCGATACAATGAGAGTAATCACACAACAAGAGTCTTTCATACAATGAGAGTAATTGCCCAACGAGAGTATTTCCCAAAATGAGAAAGGTTCGTTTCATGAGATTGATTTATGCCATTAGGGTAATTCATATAACAAAAGTAATTCAAGTAGGGAATAATTCACACAGCGCGAGTATTGTATTGTATGCAACCCATGGAATTGATTGACTTCGACCTCAAAAACACTAAGAACCCCATCTTCAATTACTCCTCACAGAATTCTCAAATATACAACAAAGGGGAAAATAACTCTCCGACCCGTAGACGTTATTGCATCACAACCCTCATACATTCGGAGACTTGTTTCCATACTTCCCCCAAGCCCCCTATTCTGTCTAATCCCAGTACGTCAAAAAGTCCCCGAAAGCTCTCCGACAAGCGAGATCCCCATTCATTCTTTGAATCTTTCGACCCCACTATGGTTACACCCCACTAAAGCACGACAAACCTACGATATAAATATAACGAACATTCGACCGGTGTCCTGCAACTTTGTTCTTTGTGGGAAGGAATAGACATTTATGATTAGAAGTTATTATCATATCCTCTTTGTCATTTTATTATCATTGGTTCTCGGATATTATTTGGGAGGAATCGAGATTGGAAAATTTGAGTATAGAATTGAGGCTTTTGAGAAGAATTCTACATTGAAAATGTCGGAGCATACACATGATGGGGATGTGACGGAGAAGAATAGAGAACATTGGGAGTACGTATTATCTGTTGGGTTGGAGAGTATATGATGAGGAAATGGGATTGTTCTTACATGCCCTGGTCCCATGTCTTGTGTCTTGTGGGATGAAGATTTTTTGCTCTGGCAAGCGCTGAGGCTATTGCTTCTTGTTTCGAACCAATGTTCACGAGATGGAAAAGATTTGTCTTCTCCTACAATTATGGATGCCATGCATTTACCATACATATATCCACCCCTTTACTCTCTCACACAATCACAATCACCACTAACTCCAACCCAGCACGCATGCCTCAACCTACGACACGCGGTTCCAAAAAACCATGGAACAACTAATCTCCATCATCCAAGAAGACCGCACCATGTCCTTCATCGGGGCCAACTGGGTCACCGAGACCTCTCCCCCAGCGCATACCGTCAAGCTCCTCGACTACGCTTGCGGCACCGGTCTCATCACCCGTGCTCTACTTCCCACCATCACCCGCGCCATCGGTATCGATCTCTCTTCCTCCATGGTATCGCAGTACAACGCGCGCGCATCCAACCAAGGACTTTCTCCATCCGAAATGTTTGCTCATCAAGGAAACTTGCTTTCCGCTGAGCCGACCCCGGAACTGGAGATTGAAGATCTTTATCAATTTGATATTGCGGTTGTGGGATTGGGATTCCATCATTTCTCAAACCCGTCCTTGGCAGCGAGAAAGATTGGAGAGAGGTTGAAGAAAGGTGGAATTTTGGCGGTGGTGGATTTTGAAAGTCATGATGGGTATGGAAATCCTCATGCTCATGGGGAGCATGGTCATGATCATGGTAATTCTCATCAACCTCATGAGGAATTAAACGAACAAGCTCAACAAGCGAAGGAAACAGTTACTCATCATGGATTTTCTGAGGAGGAAATCAAGAAGATTTTCGTAGATGCAGGTGTAGGTGCGGATTTTGGATATATGGTGTTGGGAAAAGGGATTGTGTTCCACGGAACTGGGGTTGAGGGGGGAAGAAAAGATATGAAGAGGGCAGTTTTCATGGCGAGAGGTGTCAAATTGTAAAGCATTCTTTGTGGCGGCCAAATCTCAAAAAGCCGAGTGAGATGATGAAAAATTCTCAAGGAAATTGAAACGAGTACTGGAAGCTAGATTACGAAGTGCAAGAATATATTCTCGAAGAAATTCTCCTGCATACCCAGACACTATAGATAGACATCCTAGACACCATCACCCTTTCCCTCCAATCTCTCATCTCCATACCTACAGACAAGTACATGCATCATATCCCAACACACCAAGTTCCCACACACCTTTCGAATTCCCCCTCTCATAACCTTTTTCCTGAAAGAAAAATACAATTCTCCCTAATATCTAATCCTAATCTCACTCGTACCACAAAATCAGAAATCCGATCTCGAGATGGACGGACATCTGTAGACGCATTAGTAGGTAGGTATACATGGAGGATTTATATAAACTAAACTAGCAATTATATAAACTACCTATCTACCAACTTATCTACCTACCCCCATCCTATTTTCAATCCTAAATCCCAAATCCCAATCAACTCACCTCCCAACTCACCTCCCAACTCACCTCCCAAGATACTTTTACAATTTCTACAGTAATCTTGTAGCTTATACCACTACCTCAATATAAAATAATTATCCATTATCAACCTTTATTCTTATCATCCTTTATAATACTCTATTTTCCCCATAAATCTCTCATCCCCATCTTCCCTTACCCCATACCCCTTAACCCAAAACCACCATATAATCCAATTATCCAATTATCTTAACACCAACCCCCAATACCCATCCACACCTATTCACCTCCCTTTACCTACCTACCCCCTATATAATCCCCATCCCAATCCCCATCCCAATCGCAGTGTTTCTGAATACTACCCATACCATGCCCTCTCATTCTCACTTCTATTATCACAAATATCTCCATCCATCCAATCTCTCCATCCAATCTCTCCATCCAATCTCTCCATCCAATCTCTCCATCCAATCTCTCCATCCATCCATCTACCCACCAATCCATCCACCCATTCTAACATAATCTCCAACCTCACCTCACCTCACCTCACCCCCTCCCCTCCCCTCCCCTCCTTTTCCATACACACACACCTACCTTCACATAAACTTTCCAATCTATATTTATATCCTTTCTTTCCATTTCAAATCTCTCAACCCTCTCAACCCTCTCAACTCTTACAAAGTCATATCACAATTATATATTCCCTAATTTATTTCAACTCAACTCAACTCAACTCAACCCAACCCAACTGATAAATATCAGAATATCAAAACATCAAAACATCAGAACATCAGAATATCAGAATATGAGAATCAGAGATGAGATGAGATGAGATAAGATAGGTTGTGAGGATATATTATCCATCCACCAATCCATCCACCAATCCATCCACCTATTCGTTCAACCTACCTACCTACCTACCCATCTACAGAGAGAAAGAAAGAGTATAACTAGATTAAAAATCGAAAATCGAAAATCGAAAATCGAAAGCCGAAAGTCGAAAGCCAAAAGTCGAAAGCCGAAAGTCGAAAGTCGAAAGCAGGAAGTAAAAAGTAGAAAGCAGAAAGCAGAAAGCAAAATAGTGACAAAAAAATACACCATCAAAGACAAGAATCTTGATCCGGAAAAGTAGGAAGGTATAGATACCTACCCAGGTATCATACTCTAACTAGGTAGTTAGAGTGAGAACCATAGATACATAGATAGGTATATCGAAGATCGCTCGACTATTTTACATCTCTTATATATACATGTATACACATAGATACCTAGTATATATCATTATAATTACATTCATATCACACTCACATACACACTCACATACACTCACATACACACTCACATATACACTCACATACACACTCACATACACACTCACATACACACTCACATACACACTCACATACACACTCACATACACACTCACATACACACTCACATACACACCCACATACCCACTCACATACACTCACATACAATCACATACAATCATCAACCACAAGAAACCATTCAAAACATTTTCAAACTTTTTTATTTCTTTTTATAGCAAACTAAAGAAACAACGTATATTGTGTATGCTCCGCTCCATCTTTCGCAGATGAGACAATAACAAGTCGCTGGCTACCATGTCCGATAGTTCATATCATGAATCCATTTGGACCCCCACCCAAAAACATCCAATTCACGCCCTTAATGATTCATTCATGTGGCACCGCTTGGAGCTTATATAAACTCAAACCCATGCAAAATTCCAATCCATGCAAAAACTCGATACACCAAGCCAAACCCCTTCAATCCATGAGATTTGATAAGGATCTCACACGTCCCATTTTTATATATGCAAGACTAATAAGAAAACCAAGGTGCTGCGTGGTCAATCGCCCCCGCGCTGTGCCTATACCCAAGAGGAGTATCCAAAGTTCCGAGGGTTGGCAATAGGAAATTCCGACAATGTGTGCCAGAACAAAAATATAACAATCAAAAAACCTCCTGAAAAAATCACCACCCCATCCGTGCCTCCTGAGAGAGTCCACCCTGGGACTACCCAAACAAAAAAGCATCCGAGATAACACCTGAAAAACAATGATGCCGTGAGGCAAGCCTATCCCTTTCTATTTATTTTCGAAACCGGCAACCAACTCCGATCCCCAGGTAAAAGACCTCACTGATATGAGGGTTTTGTTCGTTCTCTCTTGAACTTCGTAAATAGAATGTAACAGCCTCCGTTACTTGCATCGTTCCCAAAGCTGGGAGTATTATTGTATCGTGGGAGGTTGACAATGTGGAAAAAAAAAACATATAATTGTGAATAAATGAGAATGAATACAAGACAAGAACATTTCAAGTTCTGGTGGGGACAATTCCTCCTTATAGAAAGGGACAAAAATATGCGAATAAGGATATATTCCAGTCTTGGGAATACTATATAAATAGAATATTCAGATCAATATACAATAATGATCAGCTAGCTAGTTCTAGCAATAAAGTTTCTTTGGCGCACCACAAGGCAACCCTCAGAAAAGAAGAATTTCATGAAGAAAAATCACTGATGTGTGAATTCTTTTGAAATTCAGATACTAGTCTCTAAGACCTATTACTACCCAAACGTCTGAGCATATTTCGGTCAACATCGTCGTCATCGCGTTCCACAATGTTTGCGATGTTCATCTGATTAGGACGTTCAGTTTCTCTAGCAGGGGATGCTAGAGGAAACTGGGAAGACTCGGCTCGATGAGGAGATACCTGACTAGGTTGGTGATTGCCGCCTGCATTCTGGGAATGAAAAGATGACGATGAACCATTGGGAGAAGGGTCGTTCCGTGGTGCTTCATTCGAGTTTACCGAGGCCCATTGAGTGGACTGTCGGCCATCTTCCATAGGTCGGTATGCTAGAGCATTCTCTCCTTGTTTGTGTCCATATTGTTGATTGGAAGGAGGTGATGGAACTGATGAACGATATTGTTGTCCATCTTGCAATGCTGGCAGGCGGGCCGCAACATTCTCTCCTTGTTGATATCCATATTGGCGAGTAGGAGGGGATGGGACGGAGGGACGATACTGGTATTGTTCCTGAAGACCTGTTATGCGGTACGGAGCATTGCTGTCTCGGTCGTATCCGGAGAATTGACTAGGGGCAGATGGGGCCGCTCTAGCAAAGTGACGCTCATCTGCCTCGCGCTTACGCTTTTGAGAATCCAATGAGCCTGTCGGAGAGGGTAAAGTAGCACCCTGATCATATGGTGATCTGTTCGAAAAAGAAGGGAGATATGTTTGAGGTGCTTGTTGGGGTATTGAGCCTGTTGGAGAAGGCAAGGTATCCCGATCATGGGGCGATCTGTTCATAGGCGGGAGATATGTTTGGGGAATTGGCTGTTGCACATGTTGGGGCGCATATTGGGCGACCTGTTGTGGCATTTGTTGATGACAGTGTGCCATTGGTGGCCCGGGCGCGGCTTGCTGTGGATGATATCCTTGGTACGGTTCTGTACGGTTTTGATTCGCGGGGTCACCTGGTAGTGGTTGGCCGTAAGCACCATAAACACCCGAATGCGTATCTCTGCCATTAAGCGCTTCAGTCAGGGCAATAAGAGGTACAAATGCCTGTGCTGAGGATACAGGAGTGAAAACACATTCCTGTTTGAAGCGGGCACAATTAGTACATTGACCTCCGGAGCCATCAGCAGTAAAACCTGAGCAACGAATCTATTCATGACGTCAGCATTGTTTTGATTATTTTTCTAGTAATTTATGACATCTCAAATTGAACTGTTTAGAAGGAAGACCCTGAACATACCTTGCGTCTTCTGCAATATTTGCATGCGATTGCGGTTCTTTGCCTAGGAGCACTCTGTCTTAGAGGCGGTTGTGCAGCAGGAGGTTGATCTTGCGGATAGCCTCTACCGTCATGATAAGGATAGTGAGATGGATGAGGGGGTTGATCTTGCGAATAGCCTCTACCGTCATGATAAGGATAGTGAGGTGGATGAGGGGGTTGCTGTTGCGAGTAGCCTCTGCCATCTTGATAGGAGTGATGAGAAGGTGCAGCAGGGTGTTGCTGTTGCGGATAGCCTCTGATATCTTGATAAGAATGATGAGCAGGCGCAGGAGGGGGTTGCTGTTGCGAGTAGGCTCTGCCATCTTGATAAGAATGATGAGCCGGCGCAGGAGGGGGTTGACGTTGCGAGTAGCCTCTGCTATCCTGATAAGAATGATGAGAAGGTGCAGCGGGGTGTTGCTGTTGCGGATAGCCTCTCTCATCATTAAAAGAATGGTGGCGAGTTAAAGGAGGGGGTTGCTGTTGTGGGTAGCCTCTGCTATCTTGATAAGAATGGTGACGATATGTAGGAGGAGGAGGAGGTTGCGAATAGCCTGCACCGTCAGGTAAAGAATGGTGAGGAGGTGCATCGTATCCTGCCGGCATGGATCTGCCATCTTGAACAGGCTCCTGATACTGTCCAGAATAATGTGGTCCATTGTTTAAATAGGGACGATAGGGTTCTTGGTATGCAGATGCACGAGTGCTCGAGTCCCAAGATTGTGCTACACTGTACGGGCCAGGTGGTCCGACTGCAGGGAATTGGGGGTTTGGGTGGTGCGGGGTGCGATTGTCTGGACCATCTTGGGAAGTATAGCTTGTGCGACGTGACACGCGATCATCTGGGACACCTTGATGGGCATGGTTTGCATCGTGCGATGTGCGGTTCTCAGAAACATCTTGGGTAGCATTGCGAGGATATTGCGATTCATTATTTGATGCATATGCTCGGTGGTTTTCTGAATCCGCTGGGCGGGAGGGATAATCTGATCTGCCACCTGACAGTGCACGTTCAGACATGGACTTATCCGAGACACTTTGAGGGTGATAGCTAGGCCACGGAAATCTAGTTTCTATTGCATATTCTGGTGTATTTTCCCAAGCCGTTGAACGGGAAGAATGATCTGGTCCAGCGCTTGTTGGTGTGTGTGCTCCCGAAGCGTCTCGTCCAGCTGGAAGAGAGGAATGATTCGCGCCGCTTGTTGGTGTATGTGTTACCCCAGTGTCTTGTCCAGCTGGAGGGGGAGAACGATTCCCGGCGTTTCCCATAAGTCGATCGTCTTGCGGTCCATGGTAGGGAAAAGGCGGTAATGGGGATGCAGTGTTGAGAATCGCGCTCAAACTTGACGAAGTGCTTGCTGGTGCATATGAAGCTGTCGTATTTGTGGGAGCGTCGAGGCGATCCAGAGCATCTTGTTCTGACAAACCTGGGTAACGAAGTGAACGATCAATTGTCTCCGCTGCTGGTGAAGGTTGAACAGTCTGATGATGATTTGGATCCTCTTCTCGAGAGACCTGTTGGTGCTTTGTTGCAGGTCTGATGTGTTGAGTAAAAGAGGACGACATTTGGAGCACAAGCAATGTCAGATTATGTGAGTTTGAGTTGTGAGTTGTGAGTTTGAGTTGTGAGTTGTGTGCCAACCGAATTGTTAAAGAATGTAATCTATATTTTTGCGACAGCCCAGCTGCAAATAGTTGCTTGGATGTGAAGAATTGAAGGAATTAAGATTACTATTGATAAAGGGGAGGGAAGGAGAGAAGTGAAAAATATGTTGTGGTCGAGAGTGGAGGAATGAGGGGAAGCTGGTTCTATTTAAAGTCCTCAGGGTAAAGGTTCCCGATACTTGGCAAGTAGGATGTGGGAAGTACCTAGTAGAGTTGGTGGATGAACGACCCGAAAGACTGAAAGACGATTGACTTTCTCACTAGCAAAAGATGACTAGTCCCGAAAGAATCAATTCCCCACTTAGTGTCGAATTGATACCCAGAAAACGTATTGTGTATAAAGTTTGTCCAGATACTTTATTCTCCGAATTGACCAAGTCAAGTACTAGCTGGTAAGTGAGGTGAGCCCAGTAACTAAGGAAGTCGTGCGTAAGAGAGAGAGAGAGAGAGAGAGTGTGTGTGTGTGTGTGTGTGTGGTGTTAAACTGAATTGGGTAGTAATTCTCAATCTCCAAGCTAGTAGCCAAAGTTTCTCGAAGCACGCCAATAGCAATCGAGGTAGAAGGTCTGCTAGTCCCAAACAGGTATTTAAGAACTCAAAACTTGCGTAGGGTTGATTGGAAATCGTTCGTCCTTTAAATTGGCTTGACCGTTGTGATGGGACTGGGATCTGAAAACTCCCTTTCCCTGCAGACTGGAATGCCTGGGGTTAGAGGGGTAAAGAAAGAGAGACGGGCACGAGGGTATGATTCGTTCCGGGTGATTTCCACTTTCTTCAACCACTCTTGCGTACTCGTGTCCTTCTGTCAAAAAAATCAAGCATAGAAAGTGTCCGTCTTTAGTGTGTCTTGCCCTTTCCGCAAGTTGGAATATGAACACTTTATCGTTATACCCAGGTGTCAAAATAGTAATGATATATATGGAGAAATCGTGGAACATCGACGACTTTAATGATTTGAAGATGATGGATTTGTAACAAATTGAGATTTGGATCAATTCTAGGATGGTGCAGCTGTATCACGAAATGTCCCGACGGAGAAGAAAAAGGAAGATAAATAATTGATGATCGTCGGTGGATAGACAATAAGATGATGCCGAAATTCGGATTGGTGACTAGGTCATTGATAGTACGTCGATAGATAGGTAGGTAAAGTATGTCGGTACGTAAGATATGAATCAACGTTATGATATTGTGTGGTGTTCGGATCGAGATTTGGAGATTGCCGTTATTGGCGCCGTTCTCAATGTTTGTTGGAAATTGTTGGCGTTATACTTTTGTAGTGACGATGACTAGGTAGGTGTTGTCGCTGAACTTGTCTCGCTAAGAGCGCATCCAAGTAATCTTATATTCCAACTGGTGGATTCTGAACAGTTAGTAATAGCGACAGAGGGTTTAAAACGAACTCAAGTGACACAGTGAGTATGTTGAGTCTGTCGATCCAAAGAGTATCGCCCTCCCTCGACAAATGCTGAGTGCACAATGATGCCTCTCACTTAAAATGATTGTAGACCACAACTGCAATCTTGGCACGATGATCGATAGAGGCCGCAATATCCACCTTGAACTCTTCCGTGAGATAAAAGTTGAAATCGACTAGCAGTACTTGTTGTGGCTGAGTCTTTCTTAGAGTTGCGAAAAATGGCCCGCCGACAATTTTATCGTGACGAACGATTTTCTTTTTTCTCAAGCTGCACTCCCCCTCTTGTAAATGCTCCGATCAATAGGACACTATAACAAGATAGCCCTCGTATTTAGGCTAGTTTCTACCGACGTTGCCCTTCGAATATGTCTATATCTTCAAAGCTGGTGGAAGAGGTCGCCTAAGAAATCCACGGCATCTACATAAAACGCTAAATGGCGAGGGTGACTCAATTGCTTGATTTAATTCTCTGATTGGGCGTATCAAGCCTCCGCAACCTGTTGGGATGGCGCTGCGTTACTGATTGGGTCGGAAGGATAGACGTGGTTGAACTACCTAAGTAGCTAGGGGCAGTCCGTCTTTTGGCCAAGGAATGACTCTGGACTTCGCTTGAGCCTCAAGATATTGCCAATATTCTTGAAATTCAATCTGAGATGCCGGTTACTTGGAAAGAGCTTGCGGAATTCGTTTAAATTAAAAATTATATCGGAATAGCGAGTGGAAAACTCTCTGATGCAATAAATCCCGAGTCTAAGAGGACTGTAAGTTGGTACTTCGCACTGTGGAATTCAATGCCGATGATCGTCTGCCAGTATCGTGAACCAATATCTGCCTAGTATGCACTTTTGAATATACTTTAGAACTATAGTCAACAGCACAAGTTTCATGTGAACTTCGTATTGCGTGCAGGAAGACGTATACGGTGCGAGCCCTTGGTTTCCGCGTTCGGCAGGTGGTTGCGAGAGTTCAAATTCTTTTGGAGTTTTTCATGCGATGGATTGAATTACTATGCGACAAAGTTGATGAGCCAATCCCTCCCTCAAAATGTGATCTGTGTTATAAACTTGGAAGAGAATGGAATTGTCTCGGGTGTGGTTTAATTGGACGACTAGATAGCCTGACTCCCAAGGAAGAAACTCTAGTTTATTCAATATGGTGATGTAATGACCAAGGAAAAGAAAAAGGAGGTCAAGTGTGAATGGGGCAGCTCTAGTCTGGGAGGTAGTGTATTCTGGATTTGACAAATGACTAATAACTTCAAATCTCAGAGCACCGATGCAGTTTGACTATCTTTGGAACTGGAACTAGAAGAAACGCCCAGGACCATTGTCGAAGAGTGACGTGAGCGAGTGAAGTAGTACGGGAACAATGACCACCGTCCTTGAAAGGGTAATGGAGTTAAGAGGTAGATGAGAAGAATGATCGCTGGAGGTGTACAACGGCGAATAAGTGCACCGTAGAAAACTTTGATAACGAAGAAGAGATCTAAGCAAAGTGGTAAAAAGTAAGAGAATTTGATGAGTAATGAAATGGTAAGAATGATGAAGATGGAAATCGAAGAGAGAGTCCCAAAGTGGGTATCAAAAGGTGTTCTTACAGACGACCGAATATCCAATGAGCCTTGACTAGGTAATTCCTTTCCTCTTCCTTTCCTCTTCCCTTTAGCTTCCTCCTTGCTTCGATCGAATTGAAATGATTACTCTCCACGCGCTTTGCCGACCAGAGCTACCAATTCCGATTCCGATGCCGCGACACTGCTTCAACCTTCTTCTTGCCTTGCCTTGCCTTGCCTTGCCTTGTCTTGCCTTGTTTTGCCGTCCTGTCAGCAAAGCCTCCGTCTCGAGGTAAGCAATGAAGCCTCGGATTTGTTCCTCCTATTCCATACAAAATTTCAAAAGAAAAGGATTATAAAATGTAATATTCCATCCCAAAAGATAAGTCCAAAGTCTCGAAACTAAAAACCTAGAGGCAAAATTGCGATGCACAATCGTCCTCCTCGTTCGTAAGGGATTGTTTTGTTGTGTTGTGTGGTGTTTTGTATTGCTATTGTTATCAAGTTGTCGCAAGCGCAAAACATACAACCATCGAGATTGTTCAATTTTCAACCGTATGATGATGGGATTCGTTCTACTTGGATCTAGTGTCTCGGATTTCGTAAGTTGCTAACATTTGTTGTGTTTTGGTTCAATTGTGCTGCTGTCCTTTGGATTGTGGGTAAGATGTTTAACAACTCTCGGCTTCGAATACAACAATATCGATAAGGCGATGTTGCGATACACGCAGTTCTAAGCCAAGTTACATATATGTCAACTCGGGATTTTCCTAGGAATAAAAATTCACTTCCTTCAGGCGGCGACCAATCCTCATGGGTCTTGTATTAAAATGTAGGTGGTCTGGTGGGTAGTAAGAACTAGGATCATAAGAAGAGTTCAGGGAGGGGGCGGAAGGGGAATGAGAAGCATGGGATAAGATGGGATGGGATGGGTACCGGGTAGAATGTGGACAGTTCGGGGAAACGTGGGAATGGAGAAAGCGTGATTATTTAAGTGGAGTGGATATGAAACCTTTCTCAGCATGGCCTGTTGAACTCGATTTGACTTTTTTGTTGACGTTTCTAGAAATCTTTGAAATGACGATGTTGATGATGCTGGTAGTTGTTGGCAACTGGCGTTGTTTAAACAAAACCCCCGAAATTTGACCTCGTTTCTCTCCAAAACATTCGCTTTTCCTTTCCCCCAAAATTGGATAGCTCTGACGCATTCTTCTCTTTGGCTGAAAATAATTCTTTGGGGAAATGGTGGCTGGGTTTGCTTGCTTGCTCGCACACGACCCAAATTGATGACCCCAGTAGTCTGACGGCGTGGAATCCTTGAATAGATTTCGAATTGCATCCAACCAATAGCCCTGCCAATAAGGCGTTTCTTCCACCTGCAGTACTGGTATTGGGAAAGTTGGAGATGCAAGGGTCTATTGAAGACGTACCCGCTGAAGCATCCGCAGCAACACAAACTCAGCCTTTTGGCTCGATCTTTGTGATAAGCAAACAAAGTGTACGACTCGGTAGAATCGACCGAATGTTCTTTCACAACGTTGGGTTTAGTTTGACAACGGGTCGGGATGAGACGTGGCGTACTAGGTATGTACGATCAAACCGTGTACAATGGTTCTAACATCATCCTAATCACGAGAAATGTATTTATTGGGTGAATGAGAGGAGGTTGTGTAAAGGGATATATTTCTCATAGCTGATCACACTAATTAGGGAAAAAGGAAATGTACCTTGAAGCGAAAAGCCAAAAGGTAAAAGTGCATATCTTCTCCATTCAATGGTATGATGGCATATTCTATCGACTGCATGATTCTCTCCACAATTTCATGTATGAAGATACCTTAGAAGCCTTTGCAATATGCTACTTCCTGCAGCTACCACCTCTTAGCCCACATTCCTCGAGGGTCGGCAGCCAAGGGCCGCGCCGTTTTCAAACGCTTAGACACGCGCGCGCTGTCATCTAAGTATTATTATTTGTCCAAGTCTAGATTTACGCGCTTCAAGGCCTCGTGGTCCATGGGAATATTCTCATAATCATTTCGAGGCGCTCATTAAAAATTCCCAACGATTCAAATGGAAGGAATTAAAACGTGGCATTCTTTGTGATTGAAACACAACATGATTAGTTCATGGCTACAACAGACGAGATCGCTACCACGAAGCGGCAAGATCATGCCACACTGCCACCATTCCCACATTCCGTTGTCAGAAACTGGACGGCCCGTCCAGTTCATACATTTGCAGGATCCTTATTGCATTATCATGACAAAGCATACGCGGCCAAGGGGGTAAACTTATCTGATGTCAGCCTTCTGGTACACCTGGATGTGTGTCATCATTTTATTTTGTGTCACTTTATGCCCTTGTATTGTATGACCCTCCCTTGAAATGTTCATTGATTGAAGGATGTCAGGATATTGACTTAACGAGTTTACAGTAGCTTACAATTGTCATAAACAGTGGAATGAAGCTTATGCCGAACAGACGAAAGGATCGCCTATGGTCTAGCGGGAGGACGGGAATAACCGTACGCGATGAAGGGGTCCGTTCCAAATTCCCCCAAATGATTCACAAGGTCTTGCAGATGTCAATAATAAGCGTCTTCGTATAATCCTACGAAGTCAAACGTAAACGAGAGAAAAGGGAAGAGATAAAAGGGAAAGAAGAAAGATGTCCGAAATTATTCGAAATTTGTATGGTTGGAATAATTGAAAAATTTCAATCAGGCTATTCTTGAGGTTTCATCGGAAGGTAGAGTCGGAGATCAACAAAATGCCAACCCTACTAAAGGAGGGGGGAAAACTAGAACACTAAAAATATACACTCTGTCCAATATTCGATGTCAATTCGAACAATCATTGTTGTAACTTGTGAGGCGAAGTGGATTTAATGAATCTACAAGCTTTGAATTCATCATCGATGTTACATCGCTTGGAATTCTATATATATACATTATCAAATGTCAAAATGTGATTCTTTTCCATGTGTAGTTCTATTTGAGTGATTTGTTGTATCGCTTTTTGGTTCATATGGAGCCTCAATAACAATTGATTAAATTTCAAATAGTAAGCTTAATTGTTTTGTAGGGGAAATCAGGATCGTGTAACACAAATTAAAGATTAAGCTCCCTTGTTGTTTGTGGTATAATACGACTCTTTTCAGCCCCGGGTCGGCTTCATACCTATGGAACGACCCGAGATGTGATCACCCAAACCCCTGGTTCATGGAATTTTCAAATCACGTTTTCGTGAAAATATGTAAGTAGCCGCTGTTGACGATGAAAAGGGGGAAAAGGGAGGTATTCTATACCTTCCATTTGTTCATTGCCATTTTAAAAGATATTCTAAGCGAATTCTCAGACATTCCTTCTCATGGGAGAATGTGACCGGGCCAGCTCAAAGAGGTATTTCTGTCATTTTAAAATGCTGACCTGCGAACAAACGATTGCTAAAGACATCTAGGTCGGCGAACTCAAGAGATTTCATTCGTTAAGACAAGAATCATAATTTTTGTGGTAATGACGCATGACAACTTGACAATGCCGACGTCAATGACTTGTTTGGGGAATTTAATGCGGAGATTTCAGGTGAGAGAGTTGAGACTTGAACTAATCCAGTCAGAATCCAACATCAGACGAGAAAATTGTTTGGCTAAGCCACACAACAAAGCAAATTCATTCCATCCACGCATTGTTAACAAAACTAACTCCGTACATGAACAGGCCAAGTTTCAAGCGAGACCGATGGACAGCAATATCGGCTCAAATCCCGGATCAGTCTCCCAAGGTCCAAGGATGACCATACATTCGGGACACGAGCAGCGAACTCTCTGAAATCCTTGAAATTTGCCGAGATGTCCGGTCTTCACTCCACAGCTGACGAATCTATTTTTCTCTCTTTCTACTTGCCCAATGACAACGAGCAAACATAAATAACTGTCGTATCTATGTAACCTATCAAGCTACAATTCTTAATTGCCATTTACGAACGAGCCAAACATCTATCATTTTGACCCTGTGCCTCTCGCACGCGGCACCCCACTATCAACAACACATCTTGCATTGACCATCAAAGCGTTTTCCGTTCTTGATTCTTACTTTACTGACTCCACCCTCCATCTATCCTCTATCATTGGCTTGACCCCTTCACCGCTAACTACATCTGACGGTCACATTACTTTCTGTTCATGCGGGCACCCGTTAGTCTTGTTTCTAGATGGTGCATTCCCGCCCGCGAAAGCGGCGCGGAACGAGGTCACCCTCGCATTGCATACTTACATGGATCATGGTAGCGTTGCAGGCAGCGAATCAAAAAATTCACTTGTTTTGCTGTCAGATTGAGCCGTGCTGACCCTACCTGCCTGTACCGGCGACTGCATTTTTCTCTTCTTCCAATTATGTGTTCCCTTCAACGAAAGCTAATTTTGCCTATATGTATCTATATATGCAAAGAAATCAATAAAACCCCCTACTCCTACACCTTTTCATGTTGCCAGGGGGGATGTCGCTAGACACAATCAGTGTCAGGCCTTCCAGATTCTGCTCGCATAGCTTGCACCAATCGTCTTCTTGGAACAAAGATAGCAATGAGAGGTTCAGAGATGGAAAAAAGATGAAATACTCCACTTCACGTCTTGTGCTAGACTCAGGTAAGTAGTCCGTAGATAAGTCTCTGAGAGATCGACAAGGAATATACTGGGGGAACCATGCTGATGAGTTGCCAGCTGAGTGGCACTTGGTAAGGAAGCCAAGAGCCAGGGAATACATGAAATGATCTAGCGAGTCTTATCATTTGTACCTATATAGGCTTAATCGCCGACATATTGACAAGACTTGCTCCTGGACCACACTATGGAGTAGTCCAGAAAAAAAGGCGAAAACCGTCCTGCAGCGGGCCGAGCAGACTAATCCATCGTTTCTTTCAAGGGGTTGCTTGTATATTAATATCCACGATTAATCCAACCAAGTCTTACCATTGCATTGTGTTGCTTCGATTAAACAATCATTCCTGTGCTCCGTACAACCACCCCCCAACTTTCTCATGAGGAAATTTGCTCACATCTTCCCCTTTTGGAAGGTTTAATTCTCAAATGTTCATTTCTCCATCCAGATTGGATGTGTGATTAACGCATCGTCTACAGCTAACATTGGATTGATCCAAGGTTTTCCCTGTTGTTGACGTACAAAAAGCCATGATTGATTGGAATATTTCATCCGATGAATTGATGAATCGAGGAATTGAGGGGTCAAAACAATAGTCTACGGAATGCTTTGCACACCGCTGAAATATTTTAATATTTGGTGTATCATACAGTACCCAGTACCTCAATCTAAATCGAATCTCAACAGTCCGATAATTATCCAGATCAAGAATTTTCCGAAACGATTTATCGCATACACACTACACTCTCTCTTGGAACAGCCATCTTTCAAGGAAGATAGATATTCGTCATGAATACCTAGTTGGTTCAGAACTCCGTACTTTCCTCATTTCCATACACCAGCCTAATTCGTGTGCCTCGTTCCCGCAGCACAAGCCCTACGAACCAATACACAATGCCACCACACTCCTATAGATAGGTACCTACCTGTACGGATATCCCAAATAGTAAGCACTACCGGCTCATGTGCTCTTCAGCAATTTTTCAAAGCCCCAAGGAACGTGAATATTACAGAAGGTGTTATTTGTTTCTGCAAACTTCTGTGTTACATTGATAACATTGATATCCCTTTCGGCTCTTTCGGCTACATTAATTGAAATGATGCATTTCGGGCGATGATACATGGCGAAGCTAAGTGTCGGTAGGGGCGTCAATCTACCTTTCTGGTTCTGTATGAATGGATTCAAATCCATGGACTTTGTGGGGTTCAAATATTCATGGGATATACAATCAAAATATTATTTGGAATTCATTAAAATCAATTCCACGCTCGGTGCGCCCAATACTGGTTTCACTCATGACTTGGTTTGGGCAATCTAGTCGTTTCTTGTATCATTTTCTACTCCCCTCACCCTCCAACTTTCTTTATCGTCGTCACCAAAATACATGGACTACCTTTCTCAACAAATTAGAACCGAGTCTTGCGCCCAATTCAAGAGTCATATTTCCGCACGAGTCGACATTATGTATGCAGCCAAAACCTTATAAAGATTGAACGGCATATAGACTACAGGTCTGCAAGGTAGGTTCCCAGCTGAATACCATGCCCATTCCCTGAATGTACTTGCATATTTTGGTAAGTAATTTCATCATCTGATTATGAAGACATGAAACCGCTTTTACAGGGAGTATAACGTTCACTTGCACTGGATGACGACTGGTTATTCTGTTTGATCCTACTGTATGAAGCAGGAGATGAAGATGCGAGATATCGAATGTGGTAAGTAGATAGCATGCGACGCAAGCTATCTGGCGTTGCATTGACATATCTCCATGGCGGGCGGGAATTAATTGCGGGAGGGAAGAGGCGAGCAAGTGCTTGGTTAGCGAACTGGGATGTTTTTGGGTGCACACAGACGAGTCCCAGATAAGAATGAGAAATGATGATGGACATTGACGTTCCAGTTCGAAGTAGTGTATGCAAGTCTATTGATCGTTCCAGTAGATAAATTATGTGGGCGAATGATGTTTCTAGAGATCCATCACATTCTGACTCGCTATTGCATTAACCACAACCTGAGTCCATGTACATTCGCCGATCAGATAATAGGTTTACATTACAATGCAATTCAATCAAACACAGCCCTCGGAGTCCAACCATGTCGGCATGATACCCTATCCATACCCTACCGATCACAGAACGGTCTCGGACAATGAACCGATCGACAGGGTATCCCGAATATGACACCTCACATTTCTTCAATCTGTCAACCAACTTAGACACGGAGAACAGCGGAGCAAAAATAATGAGGAAATCTGATCATGAGATTAAAATACCAACGGTCGGTCGGGTTGGTGGGGGCAGGGTTTGGTCGGATCTTATTGCCACGCTGCGAGGAGGGATTTTTCATGTGCCGTGTGTGTGTATTGTTTCCCTCGGTTATATGAAATGTTCTAGGGCGAGGGGTTGTTGAAGAGTCTGATCTGATATGTGATACAAACAAAAGATCAAGAGAGAAACAATACAGACTGACTGTTGGAAGTTTGATTATTTTATATTTTATAATTTATAATAAATTTCATGATTTATACTTTACTTTCATTTGAGTTGATTCGCATGTGTGAAGATCGAACTCCTCCGATATGACAATACGCCTTAACAACAGAGAGCTGGGGAAAAGCTCTATAGAGTGGGTGATGGATTTGTTATGGTGCACAAGGGAGGTAATCTATACATGGGTACATTGGCCTTCATTTCATTGCTTACGCTGTATACCAACCTTGCGTGAGCGGTGAGTTTTGAATCGGGTCATAAGGACACAGTACGTGTATCACATCTCATCACATCACATGATAGAGCTTACTCTCGCCATATATCTAGCCAGAAGACTCATTTCCCACATCTCGAGGCTGAGGCGGAAAGACAAAATGATGATAAGCTTCGTATTTATCGTTGGATTTGGTCGGGAAATGTGTGGAAGAGAGGGCGAGGTCCGCGGGTGTCTTCAATTGAATATTACATCGTAGTTTTGCACCAGTGTGTTTCTCAAATATCGTATACGAAGGCCCTGCACTTCTAAACTTGGCTAAAGATTCATTCCTCTGTTCATCTGATATTTTGTGCTTTTAGTTTGACAATTTGCTTTCACTTCTTTTACATTCCTGTGTAGGAAATAAACTTGCTTGTTGGAGTATTGCAGAAGATCTGCGGCAGTCAAAGTAATGAAATATCAAGTAGGTGGGTGTTCATACCTAGGTACGGCGTAGGTGCTGTGCAGCTCAGCGCAAAAAGTGTTGGTTGGTAGTTGGAGAATTGATGGTGTTCTTCAAATTTGAATAAGATTTCCATTGCATGAATTGAATTGCCTATACACTATATGCATGACATCCTATCCTCTTTCCTTCCCCAACAGTTTCTTCATGGAACCTTGACTTACAGAGTGATACGATTCGTATTGGGAAGATGATACTTCACTTAGTCTCTCTCCAAAGTTATGTGTTTGAGTGCTAGTTTGCCAGCATCTTGGAGCTTCAATAGTAGAGAAGCTGCGCCACTCCCTTAACTAGTATTATGACTCTTATCTCAGAGCATTAACTAAAGACTCGGTGCCAGGAGAGAGACCGACTAGTATCTCGTGAAGAAGTATACATGTTGAGGAACCGAAAAGAGACTAGCTTAATTGCACCTCGAGTTCACGATACCCTATCCCTTTTCAATCTAGGTTCGTACCAATATCAGAATAGTCTTGAGAGTATTTAGCTTTCTCTGGCATCATACTAGATGCTAGATGTGGTGCTGATCGCTGTGGAGATGTTATTCGGGTTGTCTATATACCCAAGGGGGATACACCCGGGTAGTCTTCACTATTAACACCCCTCACACCATTCTATTGCTCTAATGCTTGAAGCTTTTTATTGAGAACTCATTATTTTATCATTTCATCGGAATCTGGCATCCTCCATTAAAAAATGTGCCAGTGTCCGTTGTGATGGAGGCCACGCTATCCATTCCGCAGTCGCCTCTTTCTTCCGAACTTGAACGCACAATGAAAAGTAATCAATTTTCAAGGTAAAATGACGTAGTTAATAAACGCACTTTTGTCACAGCCTGAGAACGATCGTAGTGTGCTTGACTATGTTGTGATCCCTGCATATAGGGAGCTATAGATGGGAACGAATATTGACCAAGGTTCTTCGCAAATTCTCACGCAACGCACCGCACCGTGGTAATCTCAACTAGCACTGATATCTAAGAATAACTCTCAACGTCTTCTCTGCTTTTTGCCAAATGATGGAGAATTTCGATTTTCTACTTCTGTGAAATTTCAAATGATTCGGCAGTTGCGTTGAAACCCCCTTTCCGAACAGCTCCTCCCTCAACGAAATGGCTCAGGTCATATGCTTATTTGCTCGGCGAGAAACTCCCAGAAAATTTATTAGATTTGATAGTTTTAGATCCCAAAACGTTAGGTTTCTTACTAATCACCTACTAAAAAGAGTGCAGTTTATCACTTTCCCAAGTGCCGCTGATACAATATTGACCGATACATGAACGTTCTATTCAGACACTAGTATAGTAAAACATGCTGGAAGTATCAAGATAAAATAGTTTTAATTAGCGAACCAATGAAAAAAATCAATGAGATGGAGTACTAAAGAAGACAATGGATCTCCTCTAAAAAGAATAATATTCGCCCTGAAACGCTAATATAGAGGTTCAATCGATCTGAAACATTTGAAAACTCAGTAATTTAGCCGGGGAAAGATTGGTGATCTTTCGTCCGATGATTCACCTGTGTGTTGGAGCGGGGCGAGAGAAGCGCCGCGATTATCTAGCTGCGCTGAATAGGATATAATGGCAGCGATAATGAGGTAGCGACGCCGAGATTTTTGCAACTTTGGGTCCGTCAAAGTCTAGCGCCACAGTCTAATGTGATATCAAGAACAAACAAATTACCATGAGTGTTTCCAATAGTCACGATCGTGGCCTACTTTAGAATTATAGGTAGAGGCTACCATCGAGTTTACAGACACATTATTCCAAGTTATTTGATATTGGGAAGTGGTTGAATGTTCTGAACCAAGTTGATCGCTTGACTACAGTCGGGCCTATTGAAATTCCGATTACGTACCATCGTGATATTCCCCAATTCAGAGACCGCCAAGAAAGCATGAGAATGAATGAGTGTTCTGGTGTGAATTTTCTGAAGAGGAGGACTTCATATACGTCATAGTTTAACATGCAAAGACATTCAATAATCATCCGACAATGACCATTATGCCGTAGAGTTTACAAAAATCACCATGTCTCCTATCTCCTGCCCTCCGTAGTAGTCTTGACAGTCGCACTTGGAGGATGGTTCAGTTTTGCTATAGGAGTGCATCTCCGTGGGAGTTATGATACTGTTATGAATGAGACCTTTGAAAAGTGATGTTTTATCCTGTGTCTGCTGCCTCAATACGCTGTAAATAATATGCGTATTCCGGTGTTGAATTCAATGGTTCTATACTTGTAAGTATCTAAGATCAGCTATGTGGTAATGAAGAGAAGAGGTATACCATAAAAAGGGACTCATGCAAACTTACATATGAGATGCTTGAAAATGCTCCCTTCCAAAATTGAAAGTCTTGAATATGAGTCTCTGTTCAATTCTATCTAGTGGCGTCAAGGCTATGCCTCCTTAGTGCTCCAGCACATCCATTCTCAAATCTTTCCTAAATATCTGCCATTCCCGCATTTTCTTATTGTTCAATACTCGCTCCAGCTTGCAAAGAAACATCCTTCATAAACATGTAGAATCTAACTATGGGCTTTCGAATCCATAAGTAGGATTTGTCGACAACGCCTCGGTATCCTATGCCCTTGAATCCTTTTACTTCGTTCTGTCTGCCCATCCTTTCAAGACTATGTACTTTACCGCATTTGTATTTATCTGGAGTGATCAATCATTCTCAGTCAAGTTGTTCTTTGAATGAACAATGAATGTTTCACTCTTGTCCAATCCACACTCGCCGGCCGTTTTATCATCACTGCACGGCCTCCATGTACTTCGTCTCGGATATTTCTGCAGAGAGAATTTGAATCCTGCGCAAGAAATGAGAACCCTTTTTTTGCGATGAGCTGACTATAATGTGCAAAATGTAGAATCGCAATCATCTGTGCTAGGTCCAGTGGTAACAGATTCCATGGCACATCCTTTGGGATACCTTGCTTTGTACCTGCGCAAATTGCTCGGTGTTTCTTGAGGCTTGAGAGATCATTCTCATATAGTTGCTTGGTAGGTTTGGCACTCGTAGAGGTAGGTCGTAGGGTCGTTCGGGCTGTTGTGCTAAAGATACTGCATAGTTGTCTTTGCAAAAAAGATGTGCCATATGTCTATGAAGAAACTTCGTGGAGACAGATGCATTAGCGAATAGTGTACAGATGAAAACAAGAGCCCTGACCATGCTAATTAGGACAATCTTGTGGGAATAATTTGAAACCGTCTTCGAAACACAGTGTGATAACCTATGACAGTCAAAGTTGAATCTGAAGATCTCCCGCAAAATTCTGATATGTAATTGAGTGTTTCTAATGTGCTGTGAATGGATATCGTCGATGATGCTTTGAAGCACTTCTCGGAGCAGCCCCGATACGTTTGTGCGTGTCATCTCTAAGAGATGTAAACGCAATCCAAATTATATGAAAAGAGAATATAAAATTAAGGAAGCAGTTGTTCCGCAAAGTGTGATCTCGTCTTCTGTTGATGATTGAGTTTCTTTGGAGCATCGATTCGTCCTCGTAGAATGCTATCATAATGTTAGGCATGGAGCCCTGACATACACGTAGGTCTTTAAATTGCCAGAAGGGGAGTCTAAAGACTCCCAGCCAAGACAAATAAGGTGGGTTGCACTTTCCTTTAAGTCTTGCAATAATTGAATCGTGATCATGTTGTTCGACTTCCAACCCCTTTGATGAGATTGAGCTTGGTTCTTTTGGATTGAGATCAGCCGATCACGTCTACAGCAATAGCCTTAGTTATATTTCTCTTAAAGTAGACTTTCATATCCTCTCATTACTGCTTATTCATATAAGCGAAAGGGGTGTCTCATAATTGATGTCTAATAATCTTGCCCATCAAATGCTCCACATCTGATTCGAGTACGAAACTATTCAGAAAAGAGAAGAATCAACCTCAGCTTATTTATTGTTCCAAAAGTTAAATATTTTATCTTTAACGATAAACATTCATCGCAGGCATTCAAACAGAAAGTTATACTCGTCCGCGCGTACACGTATGCCATCTCGCTTATCGCTGTGTCATGGATGGAGATGCATGTTGCTGTTGCCTAAATAAGAACCCCCACCATGTTCATCCTGTCGAAATCATTCACGATTCATTTTCATCAATCAACGATCAACAAACACAGGCTTTTTTTTTCATCATGGTGTCCGATATGAGTTATGATGATTTCGAAATGATTGAATCCGAAGACGTTATCAAACAAATGCTTGTGGATGAAAAACCAGATCTCGAGAAGATCAGGAAATGGCTGAGCCCTACAGATTACCTAGCATCATCCAGCGAATTCAATCGCCATGCTTCATCTAAAGCGCACAATACAGGGGAATGGATTCGAGAGACTTCGCAATTTGAACAATGGCATTCATCTGCTGACCATGGGTCTATTTGGATCAAGGCAGTTCCGGGTGCGGGCAAGAGTGTCCTTGCAGCCTCCATGGTTCAATCACTTTCGGCCAATGAGTCCGTTCCTGTTCTCTTCTTTTTCCTCAGGCAAATTATCGAAACAAATCGCACTTCTCGTGGTCTTTTGCGAGATTGGATGTGCCAGCTTTTGCCCTTCAGCGAAGCCTTGCAATTGAACCTGTTTGAGCATGTGAAGAATGGACAGAGCCTGGAAAGTATTACTACAGCACATTTGTGGAAACATCTTTTGACTGGCCTAAGAATGCTCAAACGAGTCTATTGTATCGCTGATGCATTAGATGAGATGAATATGGACGAGGAATTCCTCTCTCAGCTTAACGCCTTGGGATCATTTAGACCCGCTCAAGTCAAGGTTCTATTAACCAGTCGACCTAAACAATATCTCCAACGAGCGTTCAAAGATCCCCAAGTTATTCACGTCAGTCTCGAGGAGGAGCTTGTGAAACGTGATATATCTGTTTTTGTTCGTCAGCGCGTAAAGCAATTTGCTGAGGACGGCATCAGTGAGAACATGCAAAGTTTTATCCAGAGCACTGTATGTGAGCGATCTGAAGGCCTATTCTTGTATGCTCGCGTTATGCTCGATCAAATCAGTCAATCTATCAAGAACAAAGAACACAATGAGGTTTTAATACGAGAAATGATAGTTAAATTGCCCGTTGGTCTTGAAGAGATGTATAACAGGGTACTTATCGATCATGCTTCACTTACAAACATCCATCAGGATACACAAGTCATGATTTTACAACTGGTTATTCAGTCGGCACGACCCATGCGCCTAATAGAAATTGTCAAGGCTATTGAAGACAATCATCGCCTTTCCAAAAGTGACAGAGACAGTAAAGACATTGTCAGGTTTGGCTGTGGTCCACTTCTCGAGATCATGGAAGATGGGGTTGTGCAAATTTTGCACCACTCCTTCACTGAATTTCTTTTGGACGCTGACCGCACTATACGTAAATTGTCAAACGTTCCTCAATTCCCTGTCATCGATCCGAAAATTGCCCACCGCGATATTGCGCTTTTATGTATCAGCGAACTTCAAGGGGAGGCATTTTCTTCCTACCCGATGCCAGATAATGTGAAATATGGTGGAGGTAACGTGGAAAAATCCATGCGACAAAAGTTTGACTTTGCTCGATCGTTCGTACAGTATCCATTTGTTGAGTATGCTGCAAAGAACTGGACTTATCATGCCAAATCGTACGACTATGAAGATCCAAGTTTCTATGAGACGCTGGAAGGGTTCTGTAATTCTGATAGCCAGGCATTTAAGGCTTGGTCATGGTTGGCCGACAAGTTGAGAAACTCTCCGGATACGTTACGTTACTGGCTACAATTTAGTCATGGTCAAGCTCCAGCATCAGAAATGACTTCCCATCTTCATATAGCTTCTAGTTTCGGGCTAGGCTGTTGGACACAGAGACTGTTGGAAAATGGCGCAGATGTTGAGATACGAGATAGTACTGGAAATACTCCTTTGTTTTGGGCGGCTTGAGGAGGTCATACCGAAGTTGTGAGAAGATTGCTAGATGTTGGTGCTAAGCCAAACATCGGCGGAAATGATGGACTGAAGCCTCTCCATGTTGCAGCCTCGAATAACCATGCAGGAGTGGTTAAGCTCCTGCTTGGCGCTGGTATGCTAACTTTCCTGATCATGCTACCCAAAAATATGGACTATGCTTCAAAAGTGGAAGCATTTTATTTCTTGAACTCGTTTCTGATATCGAATCGCTCCTATATATTAAGTTGTGATCAAAAGTCCAGAGCTTTCTAAAGATTGCAAGCATCCTTATCTTGCCTCCCAGCCCTGATTATTGAGCACCTTGGGCTTGATGTTTTGTCTTTTCCTCTTTTACTGACCTCCTACAGGTGTGTCCCCTCTTACAACTCGGGCGGAAGATATATCAAGACGCTGTGGGAATGCACCACCAAATGCCAGTCAACACCCACTGATGATCGCCAGTAATGCCGGTCATGTTGAAACAATAATTGAGATGATTCCGTATTGCGAGACAAAAGAACTTGAAGAAGCTTTATTACGAGCAGCTCATCGTGGACATCATATTTTGGTTTCTACTCTCTTAGGAAAAACAGATGTTTCTCCCAACGCAAAAGCGCCCGTAGGGTATGGTGACATGGGGTTTATGAGAGGCCAGACTGCCCTAATGGTAGCGACGAGTTCCCTTGAAGCAAGATCTGTAAAGGCCATAATTGAGAAAGGAGGGATCGCAAGTCTAGGTAGTGATCACTTAACGGGGCTTGGCTCAGCTCATCCCATTGTGCATAGTAGAAATCTACCAGAACCGGAAGATAGAACGCCACTCCATAATCTTGCTATGACTGCGATCAACCAACATAATCGAGCTGCTGCGAAGGAAATCTTAGATATACTTTTGTTGGCAGGTGCTGATCTTGAAGCCCGGGATAGCAACAGCGACACTCCTCTGCTACTCACAGTCTCACCAAAAACTCATAGTTATTTCCAAATTGCTCTGGAGCTTTTACTCTCCGCTGGTGCTGATCCGGTAGGTAGAAACAGTTTTTTGATAATTACTTCTTCATTACACCTTTCAGTTCATTTTCTTTTATCCTTCCAAAATCTCTATTTACTTCTTTATATGCGATAAAACTTGATCTTCGCTGTAACTAATACCAGAAATTTATTTACTCCATCATAGTGCACCATGAACTCTGATGGCGAGACTTTACTTCACCGAGCTTGTGAAGGGCTATCATCGACTGACCTTGCCAAACAACTTTTGGCCTTCGGAGCAAACCCTAATCAAGCTCGAATCTCGGATGGAGTAACTCCGTTACATTGGTAAGTACGAATCATTCTCTTTTTCTTACTCTTGATCTGGAACATAATTGTAGCTTGAATCTTCTGTTCAGTCTTAACAGAATGAATATTGTTCCATCATCTCGGCCTGGGACTTGTTATCCAATCAAACATTTGGGTTTCGAACTTTGTTATATGAATACACTCAAAATCAGGAGCTTTTTCATAGTTTATCCAGGACTAATGTAATGCTAGTGTGGTGGACAACAGACATAAGCCAGCTGAGCTCATTGAATTGCTTGTCAACCATGGTGCTGATATCAATGTCCAAGATAACAATGGAGATACTACCCTGCATCGCGCTTGCAGATCTTCATTAATCCAATCAGGCGATCTGATCCCAGCCATTTTGAGCCTTTCACCTGATACCAATATCCAAAACAATCTTGACGAAACATGTTTGCACAATGTGTATCCGGTTATAGATTCAGGGCTGGTAAGCACTATAATCGACACTGGTATGAATCTAGAAAAACGTGACCGCGAAGGGATGTCGGTCCTACTCAAAGTGATTAAATATCAAGGTACAAATATGGAGATGGTAGAAGTGCTTTTGAGTCACCCGAAGAAGGCTTCTATCTCTACTAGAACGTGGCAGGGCAAAACAGTGCTGCATTTGGCTTGTCACTCTCGTAACTCTGTTGAGCTTCTTAAGATACTCGTGAAACACGGAGCAGATCTCAATTGGACCGATAGCACGAATGGAAACACTTTGCTACATGAAGTAGCAGCACGTTTCGACGGAGATCTAAGGGACATTGTTTTGATTGAATACCTGCATGAGAATGGGGTCTCAGTCGATGCAAAAAACTATCGACAACAGACTGCGGCACATATCACGGGAACAGTCCATGGTAATCGCTACAATTCTCTGAGCAAAGACGGCAAACAAACTTTCGTATCAGTTGTTCGTCGGTTATGCCCTAAATTCGATGTAAACACGAAGGACATAGATGGGTATACGCCTCTTCACTATGCATGCGCCACTTCTGAATATTCAGTCTTTGCTCTGATAATGGCTGGCGCCGAAATGAATGCCCAGTCTTTCAATCGGCGCACGCCGCTTCATTGCGCTGCTCGCGGACGGCAGTGTGGTGTTTTATCAATGTTGCTCAACCATGCTCAAAGAACTGGTTCTACCATAGATATCAACGCCCAAGACTCTGATGGCATGACACCTCTTCACTTTGCCTGTATATCAGGTAGACCTGAATCCGTTAGTATTTTGATCTCAGCTGGTGCTAATATTGAAAAGAAAACCAGCCGAGAAACGTCGGGGACAACTCCGCTAATGTCATGTGCCATGTTCCTGGAGGAAGATATGATCTGGAAATTGCTACAAAATGGAAAGCTCACTGAATTCAGCGTTCAGGATCCTTTCAGAGCTCTCTCAGGGTCTTCTGGGACCATGAGGCCTGAGACTGACCTGGATAAGGTAACACAACATATTACGTGCCGTATTGGTGACATTGCGCATATGCTTATAAAAGCTGGAGCGAACACTGAAAAGGCTTTTATTCCGGCACTCGAGGCAAAATGCGCGGAGCTGGTATATGCCATTAGGGGCGAAGATTCTACGAGAAGCAAAAGTTTTGCCGAAAATCAACTCATGGCACAAATGACCAGTATTGAAAAAGCACTAGATGATTGCAGCCACGAAGATATCGACTCTATAAAATGCAAGGTTTGTGAATTAGATGAGGCAACTATGAAACAGCTGGTCTTGAGAGACATTGACTTTACACGAGCGAATAACCCTGCGTGGATGAGGGATCTGGGACCGCCAATCACTCAATTCGCGCACTATGGACTAACAGAATTCATGAGCAAGATAATTTCCAGTGTACGGATATTTATTTCATTAACTGTCACTTCCATTCCTCTTTATATATTTCGAAGATGGGAGCTTTCATCTTTGATTAAATTTTACCCCATTTCCTCTGCTTAGTTATCAGTCTGACATCGAGGAGTAATATGAAGCTCTCGGATACCGAACGCTTGAAATTGCATGGAAAAACAAGTGCCACCATCCATCCAAGCCAATTTTCTCTATCCATCTTCACTCATTTCCATAGACTGTTGTTTTCAAATCTCCTTGGTTCGATTTTCTTCTGGTCCTCTTTTCATACTTTACCTCGCAGACTATTGTTTCTATTTCCTTTACCAAATTTTACCCCGAGTCTACTTGTCACAATATCCAATAGAGAAGATGATTAGAACATGATGTTTCGAAGACTAATGACTTTCAAGGCAAAACTCTTCGATGACCCACACTATACCGGTAACATTGCCGATAGTTTTGTCAATGGTTGGAGCAATGTTCGACCACTATTACAAGTGGCCTGTGAGCGGCCGATCTGGAACATGGACATGGTCAAACTTCTAATTGAAGAAGGTCAAGTGGATGTAAACGCGCATCATGTGACAAAAAGAAGTGATGTTACAATGACTGAAGAATTAATCCAAGGAACAACAGCACTTCATATCTTAGCGAAAGGGAAATCCTGGTGGCAAGTTGAGGCTATTCAATACTTGGGTGAACACGGTAAGCTTCCTTTTTGATTCATCTCAAAACCCTGGTATCATATCCGGAAAAGGGGGCCAGGGATGGAGAATCGGAGTCCGTGTCATACTCTTGGAATGAGCACTTTACTTCGAAGCATGTTTTCACCTAATCAACTGAAAGTATGGAAAACATAGAAAATACTAAAATACTTCTAGGTGCCGAATTAGATATCTTGGATGGGAAGGGTCGTACTCCTCTAGAAATTGCAAGTACATACATTGAAAACGGTTCAGCAGCAAGGAAAAATCTCTTCGGCACTCAAGGTTGTGAGGCGCTCCTTAAACTGGGAGCTGACCCCAATAAAGTGAATCCGGAAGGCCTCACAGCTCTCAACAAGGCCGGTTCCGATGAAGAGACAATTAGGATACTACTAAAATACGGGGCAGATGTTAATAGAGGAACAAAAAGCGTTCTCACATCAGCCATAGAATACGGAGATGTGAAGACTCTTCAGCTGTACCTCCAAAACGGAGTTGATCCTAACGTGCCGGACAACTCAACAGATTCTAGTTACCGATCTCAGTTTGCGACAGTCAATGTAGCTAGGAAATACCCAATCGTAGTGGCAGCATTTCCAAAGGGTCCGAAAGCATATTCTGCTTCTATAGCTGCAGAGATGATACAACTTCTGCTGGATCATGGTGCTAGAGTTGATTTGGCTGTCGAAGAGGGGGAAAGCATTTTACACTATCTTTTCGCAAATGCCACGTCCGCAACCCTCGGTCCATTTTTTGAAAGGCCAGGAATAGATATGAATACTAGGGATAAATATGGTCGAACAGCTCTCTTATGTGCCATTTCTAACTCCACTAAGAGGGAAGGTCCATACCCACATGTTACACCTTCTAAACTCGAAAAGTCACAACCACCATACGTACCGCCCTATTTACACCTAGTAAACTCGGCAACCCATGGCTCCTCTCTCGACTATCTGGCAGTTGATAACAAAGGGCGTCACATAATCTTTTATTTACTCTCCAGATGGACCTCCGAAACGGCACCATTATTTCTTTCCATTCCAGGTGTCCGCTCTCTCTTTACCCAAAAAGATAATGCGGGCTGTTCTCCCCTCCATCGTGTTCTATCTTCTCATTCTATGCCTATATCTCTCCCCGATATCGTTAACATCTTCGTAAACGACTGGGGTGCTGATCTTCTAGAGCCAGATCCAGAATCCAATACTGCGTTACATCATCTAACCCGCAGACGTCCTTACAACAAGCCGGACGATTCTTTCCGAGTCATGGAACAATTTCTCTCTTTAGGTGGGTTTATCGACGCGCGGAATGATGCGGGCATGACACCTTTACTGGTATGGCTAGCTGGTGGAGGGGACCAATCTCGTTTACCGTGGTATGAAGAGCATGGTGCGGACTTCAAGGCTACAAACCATGAAGGACAAGGAGCTCTACATTTTGTGGCGGCAAATAAACCTGTTATGCATGCACTTCCAGAGGAACGCGAAGAACTAAAAAAAGCAAGAGCAGATTTGTTTGAGGCGTTGGTAAAGAAGTATGGATGTGAGGTGCTAGACGAAGATTCGAAGGGGAGAACGGCGTTGGATATTGCAGCTGCAATGGGAAACGAGGAGATTTTGGAATTGTTCCAGAGGAGGAAATAGGAGACTTAGATCTTATGATCTTGCTTTTCGTTTTGTCTAAATGTTAATCCCTCATTTGTCACTGTACCCTCTTTCTTATGCTTCGTCTAACATCCGCGTCAATTTGAACACGTTGATAAATACAATCAATTGAGCGTCTGTTTATGAACAGTGAGAACCTTGGAATAACAGCAAAGTTTGATATCAAGGTCGAGTATCATTTCAAAAACATGAAAAAGCCAATTCTGCTCTCAAATATGATGATCGGATATTTTATGATTGAATGACAGGAGTCACTGGCATCCTGATTCCTGATTAGAAGCCATCTTGAAGATCTAATCTTACCTAGGTACCCAAGACAAAGTAAAATATCCCTCTATATATATCTGCGTTATCAAAGAAGAAGACAACTCACCCATTGGACGTTATTTGCGCCGATCCCACTCACCCAGTGATCTACATTGTCCATCAAGTCAATCAGACAATTCCGTACGAAATACTCCGTACGTTTGTTGATAAAGTGTTGAGTTATCTCTCTCGAGTCCACAACCAAGAGAATTGGTGCTGATCCACCACATACGTACTCCGCATTGGAGACAGCTGGAATTCAAGAAAAGATGGACACCAGATAATCGGCGAGAAACTGGAGAAATGAAGTGAAATTGGGGTTAAGATTTGGATGGGGGATGCCGAATGAAATGATGGGGTGTGGATATTTTGTTTTTGCAGGGGTGAAACTAGCTTTGTTTGCTCTGCATGCCCAGTGCCCACCTCACTCTGGACGGAAAAACGGGCACACCAAAGCCGCTAAAATCAAGACTTTCTTCAAAACACTATTAATTCAAAATTCAATAATAATTTGAAATAATATAGTAAATTAGATATAATAAAATTATATCATAGAATATCAATTTATAAATAATCTGCTTTAAACAAAAATTAAAAATATCGATTATTGATTTAAAAAATGAATTTCGGAAGTGATAACATATTTTTGGTGTGCCCGTTTTTCCGTCCAGAGTGAGCCCACTTGGGTTAAGGTTACTAGATAATGCATGGGGGTGTGAGAATAGCTCAACAAACGAGTATGAGATTTTGGGAGGCGGGTTATGATGGAGAGAGATACATACTTTCATTGAATCGTTGGGCAAAGTTGTGACAGATGCAATGTATGTACCAAGGTAATTGTTGCAATCTGAAGAATCTTCTGTTGATGATAGCTAGGTACCTAGTCTAGTCTTCTACAACCGCAATTATAACGATATTCGCCGCGCGCGTCTTCCTTTCTTCCTTCTATCGCGCGACTATCGGTACAGTCCACAAATAGGACGGACATGCATACATTCATTCATTCATTCGTTCATTTACCCCTGAGATTATATACACAATTCCTATACTCTACACTCCATGCTTACATTGTCAATTTCATCATACAACCTCGACAACACAAATGGATCATAATTAGACGTTGCCGCATTGCAAACTCAAAATTAGGCCGAATAATGAAGCCGTCAAACACGGGATGACAATGCACCCCAACATACTTTGTGCGATAACTACTCCGTATCACAACAATTCTGGAGTCTCCATCCTCACCCCGCCGCATATACTTTTCATTTGCTCGATGACATAATATCCAATCCCCAGAGGATGCAAAGCAGGGATAAATCCATCCGAAAGTTGCACTCAATTCATGCTTTTAGACTCTCGCTTCCATGAAAGAGTTTCCATTTGTTCCATCTCTTCCATCACTAATGCTTAAATAGGCCAAGTGAGCTTATCATGGCCAAGCTGAAACAAACTTCAAAGTCTGAGAGTTCCACAAATACACCGAACGGCCAATTTCTATAACCTCCTCAACATCCGAAGACATACCGTCCAAGGTATACCCCATGTTTGCTGATTTGCTGGGGCCTGCACAACCAACACCTTTTGTACGCCTTGCACTGAGCTTGACTACTCGGCACTCCGTATTCCCGCATTATAAGGTTCGGATCTCGCTGTACCTACAGAGTGACGTGATAATCGCTGCCCGAATAGTAAATCCGGGGGGGGATACCAAGGTATTATGGGGTGTAATCTTGGTCACGTTGTTGGGAGAGGGATGATCTTGGTTCCTGCTTGGAATCCTGATTAATGTTCCTGCTTGAATCTTTCAGATCTGCGAGTCATTGGTATTCGCCCTCTCCACACTTGTTGTACTGTTTGTTGGTTGGTGTTAGTTATATAAAGGTTGATTATTCCCCTTGTTGGTCTAGGAATTTTTTTTCATTCTCTCATTATCAGATGATATTTTGTATTACTGCGTTTGAATCGTTCTTGTATTGCATGTAAATTTATATTCTTCGCACGGATCTTTTCAAAAAATATGGCTCCCTGGTTTGGTATGAGGGGAGGATGGCTCACATTCTGGGTCACGGTTGCTTGTGCAACTGATATGACTTTGTTCGGTTATGATCAAGGTGTTTTCGGTATGTACTATGTCTAATCATCTTCTCCCTTCGTTATGATCTTTCCTAACCGAGTCCAGGTGGTGTTATCGTCACTGAGGATTTCCTCAACACTCTCAATCTCAATGGCAAAACCGCTTTAGTTGGAACGATTACTGCTCTTTACGATATTGGTTGTTTCGTAGGAGCCATCGCAGCCGTCGCCTTTGGTGAAAAACTCGGTCGTAAAAAGTCCATTCTATGGGGAACAACCATCATGACCATTGGCGCCATTCTTCAAATCGCAGCCTACGATGTCCCCACGATGATCACGGGAAGAATCATAGCTGGTATTGGTAATGGTATGAACACATCCACGGCACCCGTTTGGCAATCCGAGACTTCGAAAGCTAGTCTTCGAGGTAAACTCGTCGTCATCGAAATGATTCTCAACATCGCTGGTTTCTCTCTTAGTAATTGGGTTACATATGGATTTTCTTTCCTTTCCGGCCCAGTCACTTGGAGATTCCCACTCGCCTTCCAATTGATCTTCATCATAATCTTATATGCCACTGTCCCCTGGCTTCCCGAATCTCCTCGTTGGTTAATCGCACACGGAAAGATCGATGAAGGTCGTCAAATCATTGCTGATCTCGAAGATCTCGACATCGCTGACGATCGTGTAAGCAACGATGTGAATGATATTATTTACGCCGTTGAATACGAAGAAGCGCATGGAGTCTCTTGGTTTGATCTCCTCCGCGGTCGAACTGGAGAAGCCGGAACCTCTACTATACGTCGTCTCGTCCTAGGTTGTGGAACTCAGGCCATGCAACAACTTAGTGGTATCAACGTAACATCCTACTATCTCCCCACCGTCTTGATCTCGTCCGTCGGTCTCTCAAATACACTCGCGAGACTTCTCGCCGCTTGCAATAGTGTATCTTACCTTGCCGCTTCGCTGCTCGCCATCCCGAATGTAGAGAGATGGGGAAGAAGAAACCTCATGATTTATGCAGCCGCTGGTCAAGCCGTCTGTTACCTTCTCATCACCGTTCTACTTCGCTTTAACGAATTAGAAGGCTATGCTCATCAAAAGGAAGTCGCTTCTGCCTCTGTCGCATTTTTCTTCGTCTATTATCTTTTCTTCGGCTTTGGGTGGCAAGGTGTTCCTTGGCTTTATCCTACCGAGATCAATTCTCTCGCCATGCGTACTAAAGGTGCTGCACTTGGTACTGCCACGAATTGGATCTTCAACTTCATGGTGGTGGAAATTACACCCATTGGAATTGAGTCTCTAAGATGGAAATTCTACATTATATGGACGGTTTTCAATGCCTCGTTTGTACCAATTGTTTACTTCTTCTATCCCGAGACAAGTGATAGAACATTGGAGGATATTGATAGACTGTTCAGAGAAAATGGAAGTATATTGGTATACAAGGATGCAGATGCGATAGGCAGAAAGAGACCCGCTAGATATTTCGAGGCAGAGAGAATCGGCACAGTTGAGTCAGATGAGAGAAAGAGTTTGGGTAGCAGTGCGGGCAAGAAAGCGAGTGATCTTGGAGGGGTATTGGCTGAACACGATGAGGAGGTTAGATATTAGGACATGGGTGAAGAAAAAGAATAGTGGTTCTTGTGAAAGGATGTTTGGATTGGAGTTTCTTGGTTTGTTATGAACTTATGCATGCACGTATGAGTAGGGGATGAACAGAGCATAAGCGTGGAGTTTGGATGGATAAATACCTTGATGAGCATTTTTCGGTGGGACATTACTCACATCACAAACAATATTCACAAAATTAAAAGTAAAATTTTACACGCAGAAACCCTCATGTGCCAAGAATGAATACACAGCTGATGAGTCTCAATTTTCAGAAATTCGCAATTCGCAATATAAAAGTGGACTTGGTGATATATTCCTTCACCGCAGAGAAGCTTAGCACGGATCCGAGTAGGAACGCCAGACGCTTCGGGGATCCCGTACGTTACCTTCGGCATTTGTGTCCACCTGTGTTCCCTACCTATGTAGCAATCGCTTGCCAAGATTTGTTTCTTCATAGCTAGCTCCAGCCAGCGTGTAAATACGACCTACGGCATCTATCATTCTCGGCACCCACCATTCTCGGCACTCAGGAGACGATCTCGTCTCTTCGAATATCTGAAAATGTCGACGATATATCTTGACAACTTTGAGGTCTCTTGGCATGCTATGCCAGTTTCTTAGAGTTGGAATCTCTGGAAAGACTCTGTTTGAACTTTGACTTTCAGAACGAGAAATGAAAACTCAGTCGATACATATGGATCTGACTGATGGAAATCCCTCAAATATGCACAAGCATGACACGTACCTCATCGAATTTTCAATAGATCATCGTTGTCGCTCTGCTTCTCAAGCATCTCAATCCACTACTCAATATCAACGGCCCGATAGCTGCCCCCCATCTCCTCAAAGCTGCATACTCAGCCCCTTCCTTTGTCTTCACACTCCGCCCCCTCAAAGCTCCATACTCACCCCCGTCCTCTATCTTCACACCCCGCCCCCTCAAAGGTGCATACTAAGCCCCTTCTTTGATCTTCACACTCCGCCCCCTCAAAGCTGCATACTCAGCCCCTTCCTCTATCCCCACACCCCTCCTCTCAAACCACCGTCCTTAAAAATACACCATTCCACCTCCGTCTCACCTGACAACAAACCGGTCGACAGCAATTCCTACATCCACTCAACGTCTCACTTTTCTCTTTCGGGATGAACCAGCCCCCCTCACTCTCCATATCCACATACTCCCCATTCTGATCAAGAAATACCTCATCGGGTCCCGCAGTCCATGTCTGTTTTTCCTGTCCCTGTTCTTGTATCTTATCTAACCCATCTGTCCTTTTGATCCACAATTCCCTTTCCTTTTTCCTCTCCCACTTCTTCTTCCCTCTCCGCTCCTCCCCCAAACCCTCAGCCAACTCCTCCCCTGTCCGCCCTCTCTTCATAAACACCGGAAAAAACAAAATTCCCTCCCCACCCTCATACAACCCCCCATCCCCAGAAAAACAATGCCATTCCCTCCCCCGAATACTAGCCAAATGTCTCCCGATACACCGCACCTCCCACCCTCCACCCCCACACCTCTCAATCCCCTGTACAATAATCCTCACCGAATAAAACGACTCCTCCTTCTCTCCCTCCTCATCCCCATCCCTCAAATTCCACCCCTCCGGCACCACCCTCTCAACAAACTCCACCAGTTCCCGCGCATACCCATTCCGATACAAATACGCATATCCACACCCATGTCTCCTCACCACATTCCTCCGATATTCAAGCGGCCACTGCACTTTCCACTCTCGCTTGAAACTCGCGACGCGAACACGCTCATCGACTTCGATAGCGGAGATCTGGAGTCGGATATCGAAATCGTAGGTTGAGAGCGGAGGGAGCATTCTAGGCTTGGCGTAGAGATTCCAGGCGGTGGTGATAAGAGTGAGGAGTTTGCGATTGGGGATAATGTTATTATCTGGGAAGGAAGGATCTGGATCGCTTCGGTGGTGGAGCTTGGGGGTTATATGGGTGGTGTTTTTCATAATGGTGGATTTTTCGGTAAAGGGTTCTTTTGATAATTCTTCCATAAAATGCAAATGTTCAGGCTGCGGTGACTTTCCTGAATATTTCCTCGGTTTGGGACTTCGTATACACACGAAATGCGCTGCGTATTGCAGAATATAATACAGAAACTCCACATCGCCTTGCACGCCTGGTATACATAGTACCTGCGCGACAAGCTTACAGACCCCCCGATCCGACAAATCGAGATTGGAGCCCATTTTCATCCTGGGAAATAAATCATAGGGAGATTTTTGGAAAAATTTGTACGCGAGGCGCCATACGTAATCGGATTCGGGATGCGAAGGCTCGTTGGAGGGAAGGCTCCAGGAGTAGTATATTGTGTGTGGGAAAGGATTTTTCGAGAGGGGGAAATCTTTGGAGAGGTAATCTTCTTGGAGGAGTTGCTCGTCGGTTGGAGTCCAGAGTTTGGTGAATGTGACAGAGGGGTGGAAGGGGGTAAAGGGTCCGAGTGAGGGGATGTGGATGGGGGATTCGTTGAGATTTGAGAGGGGTGACATTTCGTGGCTTTGTGATGGTGTGGTTTTGATGCATTTGATATTAGGTAGGTTGATGGGGCTGTCTTTTCTGAAAAGTAGATGTGTCCTCGCTGTAATAAGTTTCAATGCTACTTAAGGTATTGTGCGATATCAAAATGAAGAAAGTTGTTTGTTTATATCAACAAAGCTAGATACTTATTGTAATATGCAAAAAATATACAAACCCATCTTGGTGCTCCTTCACTACAAGATCCTCTATTAAATAACTCCAACAATCCAATACTCATACTAGTGAACGTAAATCAGAAATACGGCTACCAACCAACATAGACGAATTAGTATGAGCCAACATGTCGGGGTATTCACACAACTCCAATATCATACTGTAAAAGTATCCAAACAGTAAATACCGTAGAGATGTATCATCCATCCATGACAAAAAGAAAACACAAATTAAACTCTTTGTACTGCCGATGGACAAACTTCAAAGTAATCTTACAAATCAAAATCCACCTTGGGATGTATAAGTGTCTCCGATAAATACCTCCAGCTAGGGAGGTATACTACTTTTTACACTATCCCAAACAGCTCTCAAAGAATCATCATTATAATTTATGACAACCAAACTCCCTACAATAATTCAAACAGGAAAGAAAAAAGATCAAATGTAATATATGAGAGGGTTTGAAAGACACCAAGAGGTAAGTCAAGGAGCTAAAAGTTACAACATAGGTATTCAAAGTGCTCCACGAACTTGAAGAATTAGACGCATTGAAGAGCTTTAAGAGTTTAGAAATGCAGATGAGAGCTAACTGTTATCATCTCATGAGTCATACAAGGAGGAGAAAAGTAGCGATATGGAATATAGGAAACTACTTACCACAACACAGTAAATCTTCCAACCCCTTATGCACACTCCTCTGCTACCCAAAGAACATCTTCACCTGCAAAGAAACCCTAAGGATCAAAGATACATCTCTTCTCTTCCCCCAATATCTTCATTACATTTCCAGCCCCTCCAACCCCCAAAACAAAAACACATAAACCAACACATCTCTTCATCTCCCCTCCCCTCTTCCAAGCTCCTCCTCTTCCAACCCTCCTCACTCATCTGAAATTTCAAGAATTCAAAAGTATATAATTAGATATCTAAATACCTAGACAGATACTCTAACAAAATTCCAAACCACTCATATAAAAGAAAAGCATAGAATCATTTGGGTATATCTATCTATCTAAATAAATAAGCGAATAGAAATATAAAGATATAATAAATAAATAAATTCAAAATCATATATCGTAAAATAGAAGTCAATAATCTAACTTCTAATATTAATAATACGAGGGCGTATTTTTGATGATAGCCGAACTGAAATTTAAACGAATTTCCTCACCAAAACTATACTTTATTCTATATATTTATAAATATATAATAATTCAAATATTCATTAATTTTTTTTGGAAATTTGAATAATATAAAAAGATTTAATTAATAATTAATTTGATATTAAAATAATTAATTTTGAAATTAAATTAATAATAAAATTCTATATAGAAATTTGATTTTTAAAATAAATATAATTTTTTATAAAAATTTTAAATATAAAAATTCAATATAAATTTTGATTTAATTGAAAATTTCAATAAGAAAATTAAAATTATATTATTAAATTTTTAATAAAAATTTATTATTTTTATAAAATTTTAAATATATAATAATATTAATTGATTTAATATTGAATTTTAAAATAAATAAGTTTGGATAAATTTTGGTATGAAAAAATGCTTATGCACAGACCCGGCAATCATCAAAAACACGCCCTTGTAAAGATAATTCTATACTTATATTTCACTAGCAATATATATCTATACATCTCTATATCTATAAATCTACATATCTATATAAAAAATATTAAAAAACCAACTATACAGCCCTTAAATTCATAGTATTAATCTAAACTCATAGATATCTAGTATAACTTCAACTTCAATCCGACTAATATCAAGATACTTTGTAAAGTATTATAGAGTCAGAGTTATCTATAATAGAGAGATCTAGGATATAGCTATTTGATATTTTATATTTTATGAGGTAAGAGTACTAGGTAAGATACTAGGTAAGATACTAGATATTGAGATTATGAGATGGAGAAAAATCGATCGAAAAGTTTAGGTTACTTGTCGGCTAATTATCCTCATGGTCAACCAACCAAGGGTAGTTGGTAGAATTTTTTAAAGCCGACAAGTAAGAGGGTAGGATGAGAGAGATGGGTTGTGTAATTCTGTTGATTTGAATTTGGATTGTTAATTCCGACTTCCAATCTTTAATTGTCAACAACGCATAAACGCAGTACTTAATAATATCTGAGTAAGGAGTAATCTTGACAAAGCTTATATATATCTCTCTCTTACACAGCGTATTATAGTACATGACTAGATTATATATGTTACAACCTCTTTACAAAACATACATATAATATGTATAAAATAACCCCCCCCCCCCTCACCTCGCCGAGAACACGGAATTGTATAGGCATCTCACATTACATTTCCCTTCACCTTTATATCAGAGCATAGCATAGTCATATTCATATTCATATTCATATTCATATTCATATTCATATTCATATTCATATTCATATTCATATTCATATTCATATTCATATTCATATTCATATTCATATTCACATACACATACACATTCACATACTAGATAGAAAATTAACTTTATCAACATGAATACCTACCTACTATCTAGGTATCTCAAATAGAATCCTGAAAACTCGTATATCTATACCTATATTATATCTATCTATTTATCTATCTATCTATCTATCTATCTATTTATTTATCTATCTATTTATTTATTTACCTATCTATCTATTTATCTATTTACCTATCTATCTATTTATTTATCTATCTACCTATCTATCTATCTACCTACCTATCTATCTATCTAGATATAGGTACTCGTATATATTGTAATACGAAAGCATCGCATTACATCACATCACATCACATCACATCACACTTATACCTATCCTTATACTTAATATATACTTATTATACTTTCCACCAAGAAACGTGCGGGAAATGTAAGATTACCTAGGTACCGACTGCATTTTAACTACCTACCTAGGTAACCTTATGATCTTCCATATTTCATATTTCACATTTCACCTTTCATCTTTTCAAGAAAGCATGACTTGACTTTTCGTAGACGTGATGTGATATGATGTGATGTGATAGATAGTGAGTACTTTTCTATAAAAATCGAAAATAAAAAATAGAATGGAGTGTAGAAATGGAATGCAAAAATACGTTTAAGATGGAACAACAATAGATGATTAAAGTTCCGCTAGTGGAAAGTTTAGGATCTGGGTGAAGATCATTTTATTTTATTTCAATAGACTTTTTGGAGCGCTTTTTCTCTACTAATCTATGGAGGGGTTGAAGATATTGGTGCCTGTTTGAAGGTATGTATGTGTGTCTAGGTATTGTATGAGGTTATGTGATGTGAAGTGGAAAGAGTAGAGTTTCGGGATGGTGGTCGGGATGGATTTCGGGAGAGAATATGATGAATATCGGGATGAATGAGAATATGAAGGGTAACTCGGGATGGAAAGATGATGGATGGATTTCTATGTGATGAAGAAGAGGAGAGGAGTCATTATAGGTGAATAGTATGACTAATAATTTGAATCTGGATGACTTGATTCGATATGAATACCTAGGTAGTTGATGACTAATTATTAAGGTACTCTGGATGAAGCGGTCATACTATCATTTCTGTTGAATTGGATAGGTAGGTAGGTAGTTATGAGAATTCTCGATTAGAAAATGGTAACTCATTTTTCTTTTCTTTTCTTTCCTTTTCTTCTCGTATGAAAAACATACATTGACGTGTCTTGACATGGCTTGACGTTAAAAAAAAGCAATCGAAAGGAGCTGGGAGAAGAGCTACCGAGTAGTGAGCTAGTTCCCGATGAAAAGTTGATCCGTAATGAAATCATCGACTAAGAGAAAGCTTCCACATCGAACTAATGCAAGATACCGATGACACGATCTGGAACGGTGTTGCATGAATATGCGGTACTCCACCGTCTTGCAGATGTTGAGTGATCACCTGAGGATGAATCTTCTCTTGCAGTCGCTAGGGAAGCCATAGGTACCTACCTAGGTATATATCACGAATGGGATGGATAGATCTGTAGGAGTTCGGAAAGAGATTAACGAGATGGTTGAGGGTTCGTATCGATTGTTCCATGATGGTGGGAAAGCTCAAATGATCGGTTTACGATGTTTATCATGGTGGTACGGTGTAACGCCCATCGATGCATGTAGGAGTGAGGGATATGCAGGTGGGAGAAAAGTGTGATTTGGGTTGGAACGCTTTCCGAGCTGGCTCGAGGCTGGTCAAGTAAGGGATGGTGGGATGGAGATATCGTGGCTCTGTATATGTCCCGACTTTAGATCTGGTGGTGTGTATTGGCACTTTTCGATGGATCGGGAATTGAAGGGAAGAGATTGGGAAGATGTTGGGTGGGTAGGTAGGTAGATAAGATGGGTTGGGATCTGATAGATGGGATCTGATGGATCTGATGGATCTGATGAGATACTGTACGGGAATTCTAGTGAAGGATATCTGCAAGAGATATCTTGATCCGACTGGCTGTGAATTGTGAGGTGGTGTAGGTTTACCAGAGATATTTGATGTATATGATGAAGCGGTGCATATCTATGAGAAGTCTTGATATATATTACGAGGTAGTGTAAATTATAAGATGGTGTAAATCTATATATTAGGTAGGAAGTAAGATGCTGAGATACGGAATAGTAAAGTAGTTAATAGGTAGGTAAATAGCTAATAGTGTAAGAAGATTGATTGATGATTACCTGGTATATATTTATTTAGTATCTATTTATCTAGGTGGGTGTAATTGAAGAGAAAAGAGTGAAGGTTGATATATGAAAAGAGTGAAGATTGATACGAAAGAAGAGTCAAGATTGATACGAAAAGA